GTACTACTGGGTTGCAGCATCAGCTCCAGTGTCCTGACCAGGATTAGCCACTTAGCTGTTTCTGGAGTCCTTTAACCCAATAATGGGGCATTGTGTTGCTTACATAGTATTGAGGGCTCAGAGTAAATATTTTGTGTACTTTAAACTTTTTCATGCTTAGGAAGGATCTCTGGTCCCAAGCCACATGGCAGTTTTTCATTCTTCAAATGATAATGTATGTGTAAAATAAGTGAAATCTACAAGCTCTTTTTATTAATTTACTGGCAGGTTAAATTTAGAGCAACACTGTCCGATAGAAACAATGGCGGCCACATATGTGATTTTATATTTTGTTGTAGCCGCATTAAAAAAATCAAAAAGAGGTGAAATTATTTTCAATATATTTTATTTAACCTAAAAGATCAAAAATACTGTCTACATGTTATCAATATAAAAATTACTAGTGGAAGCTGGGCGCGGTGGCTCACGCCTGTAATCCTAGCACTCTGGGAGGCCGAGGCGGGCAGATTGCTCAAGGTCAGGAGTTCGAAACCAGCCTGAGCGAGATCCTTCTCTACCAAAATAGAAAGAAATTTATTGACCAACTAAAATTATAATACAAAAATTAGCCGGGCATGGTGGCGCATGCCTGTAGTCCTAGCTACTCGGGAGGCTGGGGCAGTAGGATTGCTGAGCCCAGGAGTTGGAGGTTGCTGTGAGCGAGGCTGATGCCACGGCACTCACTCTAGCCTGGGCAACAAAGTGAGACTCTGTCTCCAAAAAAAAAAAAAAAAAATTACTAGTGAAATATTTCCCTTTCTTTTATTTGCAATAAGACTTCAAAATCTGATGTGTATTTTCCCTTATACCTCATCTCAATTCAAACTAGCCATATTTCAAGCATGGTTTGAAAGCCATGTGGCCAGTGGCTACTGTATTGGACAGCGTAGATCTAGAATGTCCTGTTTCCCCAATTTTTTTATTGTGGTAAAATACACATAACATAAAATTTGCCATCTTAAACATCTTTAAGTGTACAGTTCAGTGGTACGAAGTACATTCATATTGTTGCGCAACCATCACCACTACTAATCTGCTTTTTCAAAGGCCCACCTACCATCTGCTCCTTTAAAGTGGTGGTTCTCAGACTCGTCTGCACAATACTTGGGAGTTTTACCAAATACTGATTCCTGGCTCCTGCTGGAGTTTGTGACTGAATTGGTCTAGCATACACCTGGGCACTAGAAATTTTAAAAGCTGCCTAGATTGAAAATTACTGCTCTAAAAGAAACAGAACCAAAATAACTAGAAATGATTAAAAAGTCACCAGAAAGAGAAAGGTGAAAAACACCACTGTTATAATTACAACAAGTTTTCCAAATAGATATATGTTGAACAGTTATAATTTTACTATGGCTTCCCTATGGTTTCAGGCCATAGTCCCTGAGGATTTGTAGATATGAATCATTAGCCCCGACAAGGAGCATTCCACCAGTGAGGTCAGAGCTGAGAACCAACCTAGAGAGAATCGGGAGGCCATACATGGTAAGGCCCAATATCGTGTGTTACTGCAAGCAAAAGGACACATGAATTTACACAGCCTAGGCAAAACATGCCTTGTTAGGCTCGCTGAGACGATGAGCTAACCACCTAAGCAGTTCTGTAGTACCTACGGCATTTATTTATTTATTTATTTTTTGGGTTGTTTTTCCTTGCCTGAACTAGAAGGTAATATCTTGTAAATCAGTTCAGGGAATTTAGAGTAAGAATACTCAAAATAAATACCCAAAACAAATAGGCATTTTTAAAAATACCAACAACCGGGTTTTCCAAGTAGCATCTATAATAAAAATGTATTTATCTTTTTAATGAGTTAAAATAAATTTGACCCTCAAAAGTGCCATATGTGACCCAGAATGATTCATTCTTGTGGTAACAGCAAAGATATAAACTCATATTTATTTGCAGAACAACATTGCTATTCAAGTCTGCCCCATTGCACACCCCATGATGGGTGCTTCATACACCATGGAGATACCCTACCTACGCCTGTCAATTGTATGTGTGTAGGGGGTGTCTTTAACCATACAGTGTCTTGCTCAGTACATCCTGGGATTCATTAGGCTACCTGTGGCTAAGAGGTATAGGAGATGTGCTATGTATCCAAACACATTATATTTAATTTTAGCCATCATATGTCTAAATTGTACATATAGCAATAAATATCAATGTACATTAATATATCTATCTCTACCTATCTATGCCATATATTGCAATCCAAGTAGGATTTTTCTTCTTTCATTTCTTTATAGTTTTTCCCCTGATAGCAATATATATCATGATACACATCCAGTTTAGGAAATATAGCCAAGCATAAAAAACAAAATACCAGTTATTTATATTCCCAACACCTGAAGAAAACCACAATTAATATTTTTCATAAATTTCCTTCTAGCCTTTTAAAAAGGTATTTATTATATGTCATTAGAGATTTGAGATTATACTCTAAAACCAAGGGTCTATTCTGCTTTGTTCACTCCATATTATATCATAAGCATTTCCCATGTCATTAAAATGATTTCAAAACATTTTTATGGCAACCTAATATTTTGTTATATATTTCCCTATTCTTCAGCATGGAGAATATTTCCAATTTTTTTTTTAAATGTAAGTAATGCTGACATAAATATTCCTGAATATACATCTTTGTATACATTTCCAGAATGGAAATACGGGTTTGAAGTTATATGGTCTTGGGCACTGTATTCTTTCTCTATTTTCCTGCCCCTCCCCATACCCCTTATCAGTTGCTTTTATTAAGCCATTTGAGGTTGCTAAATAAATATTAGTTTTCTTTAAATGCTTATCAGTATGATACATTTTTAAGAGCTGGAAATCACAACTCATACCTTTGATTATCCTGGGTCCCTGGATGAACTGTATTTACACAGATAATGATGTTTCATTTTCTTACCCTTGGAAGGATGCAGTTGTTTCAGTAATACAAGTAGCCTGGGAAAAATAGTTTTGAACTTTAAGTAAAAGTAACACAAAGTTGCCGAGTGACTCACTTATCTAGCTTCTCATTAGCTTGCCGCCAATGTGTCTGCTCTTTCTTCCATCTCAAATTTTCATTTAGGCCTGAAAATCGGTCATTCCCTAGGAGTTAAGAAATGCATGATAGGAATTTGATTAGCATGAAACCCTCCAAGATAACCAGAAGTTCCTAACAAGCTTAACCGCGGGGCCTCAGCACCACTTCTGCGGCTAATTATAGTCCACGCTGGTTGCTGGTAGGAGACAAAAGTCGCTGTGCCTGTGTTGGGTTGCTCTGCTCTTTGATTGATAAGACTAGAACTTTAGAAGAACCCCTGTTTTTTGGTGGGGTTGGGGAGCACATTGCTCGTGAGCAGAGGGGCTCGAAACACAGGTGGCTCACTGAATTATTGGGAAGGAGAGTGTGGGTGTCCAATGAGGGTGCCTGACCACAGCTGAAAATGCTGAGCTCCCGCCAAGTTCCCTGCCATTGTGTCCCATCGAACAGGACAAGCTGTCCCTCTGTTTTACTGTGAGCACGGTGAATAAGACTGAGGGGACATGGGCATTTCACTCTTTTCTAGAGTGATGAGCTCAGCCTTTTGGAGATCTTTCCTGGTGTGGTAGGCTCCTTAGATAACTAGAATACTCTGAAACCATTTTGGGGAAGTGGTTCTGCTCTAGTAGCACCCTGGACGATTTAGGGAGATGATCTTGGGCCCAGAACTATCCAGTTTCTTGATCATGCTCCGGAGAGACTAGTCAAATGTCACCTGGAGAGGTCTCAGCTTTGAGGAGACACTTTCCACCTCATCCATGACCCACAATCTTGGATGTGACCTTTTACCATCAAGTTTTAATTAAAAGAGGTCATGTGGGGGACATTTTCAGGCTTCCTGTGATCACAGAACATCACTTTTTCTTAGAGCCACAAGGATATCATTATATATGTTAAGCACAGAATCCCAGAACGTGCTGTCTCTGATATTACCATAAATGTCTCAAACGAGTCATGGCATCTATTCATTTTGGAAGGACATCACTTCCCACAAAGTGTGAAAGACCATCTAACAGGAGGCAGGGAAGGGCGTGTGCGACACACCTGGAGTTCGGCGGCGCATCATCTCCCCGCGGGCCCCTTCCCCACGGAGCAAGGCCTCTTCCAGCCTGGCCTTAACATCCCTCGACTTCTGCAGGACTTGGGTACTGACTTTGTCAGAACTCTGTTTTCCCTGGACAGGACAGAGAGGAGGACATTTAGTTCGGTGAGATCTCTGTTGATGTGGAGAATTGTCAAAACAGAACATTCTGCAGTGATGTCGGCCAGTTTTGCCATGTGCTACACAGAGACGTTGTCCTGTGGCTGAAATTCTGTTAACAGGTACAGGGCTCTCTTTGCAGAAGGCAGAGACCCTTTCCTTGTAAAATGGTACTATCTATAAATGCAAACAGGTTATAGATTTAAATACAAAAATAAGAAAAGATGATGATGCTGCCATTGCCCAAACAATGGGGAAGAGTAACAAGACAAGATTGAACCTCGGAGATAAGAGCTGGTGTAAGATTGAGCCACTCCACGCTTACCTTGTACTCAAAGCATGAGACACAGATGAAAAGCAGATCTAAAATCCTGTTAAGTTGCATTGACGGCAGGTCAGCAATCCACTTCCTAATGAGGCTCTGGTCAGCATTTTTCATGATCCAGAGGAAGCAAATCATGAGGTTGCGGGTGGTGTCGGCATTCAACATGTTGTACTGCTTATAGGGCTGGAAGGAGGCAGATGGAGGGATGGAGGCAGGGGAAGAAGTTAAACAACAGAATAATTGAAAGTGTTCTCTTAGAATGCTGTGGCTGTACTTCTTTGGCCAGGGACCCGTCTCCAGGAGCCCTGCCTTGTGTAGGCAGGAGAAGCTGTATTCTTGGAGATGGGCTGCTCAGCAAAGAGGCTCAGTGGGGCCAGTATCAGAGCCGGGTGTTCAGCCACATACCTGAGTACCCTCTGCCTTAGGAGCAGTGTGGTGTGCTGATGTGCCCTGGTCTTCCACCATGCTCTACCATCTCAACGACACAAAGGGACTTTTGTGTTACTAAGACCCCCAGGTATTTCTCCTCCATGCTGGATAGCAGGAGGGTTGGACCCATAGAAGAGAACTAACCTGGCTGGGTGCCATGAATAACCTCACTGTTCAAGATTTAGCTTCTTTGCTACATAGTCCAAACTATAACATAAGGGTCATGAACTGCTCAGCAAATTAATCAAATCTGTTGGTGGAGTCCGCTGTCATGGGACTTTAACTACAATTTATGTTTGCCTGGGGGCAGGGGTGTGGGGGGTTCAGGCTATTTGCTTTCATGCTTTGGCCACAAGTATTCATTCTAGAGTGCTGAGCGCACTTTCTATTACTCATCAAATCAACACAAACAACAATGAGAGGCTGCGCCCTCGGTTCACGCAGCGCAGCTAATATCCAGAGGAATGCAGTGGTGAAATGGCAATGAGGGATCTATCTGTGAGCATGTCAGGAGGATGTTAGTTTTGGACGGAAACAACAGAGGTTACGAAGTTACTTTAACTTCAGTTATTCTGAGTTTACTGACAAGAATAAAGGACATCTTGAGAAGGTGTAACTTCACAGGCAATAGGTTCTAACAGGTGAACTTTGGGCTTTTGAGTTTCCCCCTTAAAGGCGAATAATGTAAACGGCACACACCGCCGCCAGCAGCTAAGAATGTTGGGAAGATGGATATTGGGAAGGTGGAGGAGGTCATAAAACACACACTGTTTTTCAAGCTGTAAGATCAGTGATGTCAAAAATCTCAAGTGTCTTTTCTCTTTCTTGTCTCCCTGCCTCTCGGCCTCCCCAGTTCTCATGGGGATAGGAGGTTGCTGAGTGCCAGGGGGAGACAGGAAAGTCGTCTAGCAAAGAAGAGTTAGGTCGAGACACAGCCCTGGCAGCAGACAGCCAAGTTGAGCTCATTGCAGATATAAAACAAACACTGAAATGGCACATGGAGTGAAGCTGGAGGATGCAATGCTGCCTTGACAAGGGACGGTCAGAGCTCATCAACGCACAGAGGTGAATCCCACCGTAAGTGGATCAGAGGGTGCATTCCTGAAGAACCCCTTCCTTAAGCCACAGGGTCAGAGCAAGGGGATAGAGCCAAAGAATGCTCCTCAGGCTCCCGAAGGGCCTAGAAACGCTGTAGTCTTTTGCTTACGAAGCACTTACCCTAAGCTACCAGTCTTCTGAAATCTTTTTTCTGGAGGTAGGCACAGAATTAATAATAAACATGTAGAATAAACACAGCTCAGGGCCCCCCCCGGAGGGAGCCCTGGTTTGATCTCCTTTTGCAATGATCTTAGATTTCCCAAGCTTTCCTCTTTCCTGGTTTCTTGAACCTTGAACGCAGCACCACTGGGACTGCCTGAATTTGGTCTGCACCCCTCTCGCTGTTGCCAGAACGCTGTCTCGCTTGTGTGTTCCTCGACTGGCAGCCTCACGATGACTCCTTCCAGCACAGTGAGGAAGAAACCATCACTGCCGACTCTAAGCTGGGTTCTCCCATCAGAACACGGGAAAAGACACAAAATGAAACTAAACCAGACAAATATGCACCAACATACCAAGGAAGATAGCATTACTCCACTTGTCTTCAAATAATGATTCCCAGCTATGGCCAGGGCCACATTCTGGTTGATTGCACTGACCCCTTCTTGTTCTTCATCTGAGCCATTGGTGCGGCTTTTCCCACTACGCACATCTGCAGCTGCAACGAAAACATCAGCACTGGAGCCAAGCCAAAGGTGATATTTCCCTATGTCCCTATCCAATAAAGTGACTGATACTTCTTACCACTACAGTCAGCACAGTAACTTTAAACCTGGCATTTAGCATTATTTATCTGCCACCATCTAAAGAAAAAGCAAGGAGGCGAATAAAAGAGACAAAATGCCCAGCACAAGATTATGCTAGAAATTAATTTTTCAAATTGTGTAAATAAAAGTTTTCAGAATTTTCATAACACTTTTATTTTTATTTTTGAGACAGAGTCCCACTCTGTTGCCCGGGCTAGAGTGAGTGCTGTGGCGTCAGCCTGGCTCACAGCAACCTCAAAGTCCTGGGCTCAAGCAATCCTCTTGCCTCAGCCTCCTGAGTAGCTGGGACTACAGGCATGCACCACCATGCTAGGCTAATTTTTTCTATGTATTTTTAGTTGGCCAATTAATTTCTTTCTATTTTTAGTAGAGATGGGGGTCTTGCTCTTGCTCAGGCTGGTTTTGAACTCCTGAGCTTGAGCAATCCACCCGCCTTGGCCTCCCAGAGTGCTAGGATCATAGGCGTGAACCACCATGCCCGGCCTACACTTTTCTTTTTTTTTTTTTTAATTTCAGAATATTACAGGGGTACAAATGCTTTGGTCACATACATTGCCTTTGCATAGCCCAAGTCAGAGCTACAAGCGTACCCATCCCCCAGATAGCTCCCACCCACTGTTAGGTGTGAATTTACACATCCCCTCCTCCCACCACCCACCCGACACTGATGAATGTTACTTCCATATGTGTGCTTTAGTGTTGATCAATTAGTACCAATTTAAGAGTGAGCACATGTGGTGTTTGTTTTTCCAACCTTTTTCTATAATACAATACTTTTTAAGCTTTATTCATATATTTTAAATAATGACCAAATAGGAAGGAACCTACAATTACAGAATTAAGCAAGTACCTTACATACATATAAGTAATTATCACAAGTTCAGTGATGATTTATTAAATTTCAAATGTTTAAAAAGAATGTTAATTTACTATATCTATGTAATACAGATATATCCATATTTATAGTTAGGTCTACCGTGTTTCTCCGAAAATAAGATAGGGTCTTATATCTATTTTTCCTCAATAAGACACCCTGGGGCTTATTTTCAGGGGATGTGTTATTTTTTTTAAGTACGGAACACAATCTACATTTATTCAAATATAGTTAAGTCGTCTTCTCCTGGAACATCATCATAACTCTCCAAACCCCGAATTCCATCCTGAATTTCTTGTGACTCTACTTCCTTTAGAACCATTGGCCCCAATCTCTCATGTCAAGCAATAGAGCTCTCATGGGGCAGATGAGAAGGGCTGCTCGTCTTCTTTACTGCTCTGAGACAAAATGCATGGGTTGTGCAGACACGCTGTGTAGCCATGCCCATCACTAGGTCTTATTTTTGGGGTAGGGCTTCTATTGAACAAATGCTTAGAAATCCTGCTAAGGCTTATGTTATGGGTAGATCTTATTTTCGGGGAAACACAGGACATGTACGTAAGCAGAAAAAGGATCAACCATTTAAAAGGCTTTTTTTTTTTAAAGAATGCTACCAATCATGCACACACAAACTGTTTGTTCAAGTGGTTCTGAGAAAATTGTGTTAAAACACTTGCAACTGATTGATTCACTAAAAACTCGTGTTTTATTAGACCTGTCAACACTATAGCCATTTGGACCTTCGATTTTTCATGAAAGTTTGAGAGTAAACAGCATTTTCTCTGCTAAACTTGTGAAAATAGAACCCGATTATTTATTTATTTATAACCCTATTTTTAGAAATAATAATTCATTGTTGTGTTTGAAGGCAATTGGGTCTTTAAACAAATGGTGAAATAAATAGCAGGTGGAAATTATGCAAGACCTGGTAACATCATCACGACTAATGTAAAAGATACATTCCCAAATCCTTTTAATATGCACAGGGTCACAGTTACAAGAAAAAGAAGGAAAGACATAAACATTTGCAGTGCAAAATGCTTTTATAGAAATTCTCTGGTTCCATCTTTATAACAGCTCTAATAAGTAGGCATCATTATCACATTTTTACAGTCTATAGAGGAAGGAAAGGCATAAAAGTTGGACTTTTCAAAGGTCACATATAGTAATAAATAATGGCTGGAGTTTGAATTCAGATGTCTCTTTTTGAAAGATGATATTCTTATTAGTTTATCAATCTAATGAGTCTATATTTAATAGATGTGCTATATTACCTGGAATAATAGGACACTTTTTACTGCTTTCCCTCTTGTTAGCCACATCATGACCATAAAGTAAAGAAGCCTTTGAGGCTTAAGAGGCTCAGAGACCAAGTGTTAAAAAGTTCTGATTCCAAGTGACTGATACGGAAAATTCTAATCAACAAGAAAGCTTTGCAGAATGTGTGCTAAAGTGGTTCCCTGCTTTGAGAACAAGCAAGTGGTAGCTCTTGGAACTTTCTAGAAACTTCCCAGCAATGAATCTTGAAATGGATTCCAAGTCACACGCCGTGCTCTGCCTTACATCTTTAAATTTTGAAAACAATTCTGTTCTCAGTTCCCTCCAGTCAGGAGCTACTAGAGGAAGCTACCCATCTCATTGTGCAGCTTGCTCACCCTGTATGTCACACATATGTTTCTGCAATTTCCTCGCCTTTCTGGCCCCAAAATACTCAACAGACCCTAACCCCTGGCTCTCACCTTTCTTTTCATAGTTCCACCTTTAGCAGTTTGCTGGAGGAATGTTTTTAAAGAAAGAAGATAATTACTTCCATAGGAAGGATTGTCTTTCATTTTGTGATTTGCATGAATTGAAGGCAATAAGTATTTGGTCTCATTTTTATGAACTGAATACTTGAAACCATGGGGTGGGGAACCTGTGGCCTTCTGATTTCAAGATTGTTCTTTTTTAAGCACCAAAGGAGGCAAGGAAAGCTCCATCTTTCTCTGCTGCACCCCTTTTAATAAAAAGATTTGTTCTATATAATTTGGATTCAGTCAAAAGGCTTCACCAAGGACCCAGAAGGCCACATGTGGCCCTAAGGCCACAGGTCATTCACCTCTAATTGGGGAAAGCAAGTAGCACCCCAAAGGGATCAGAATTGTGTGTGTGTGTTGGGGGGAGGGCAGACAGATAGACTGTCTTTCTCAGATCTCACATAAGAAGTTCCTTTATTTGGAAGGGTTTTTCCCCCTCTACATTTCATAATCCATGCTGTAATATGTAAATAGACTCAGCAGGTTCAGAAATCCCTTTAAGACAATTTTTCCTTTCCTCTTGCTGCTAAGCAGGAGATATTGACCTCAAAATTAGCCACTTAGTGACAAAGGCAAAGTTTCTCTGCTATGGCAGAATTTCCTAACACTAACAGACACTACGATTTTTTTTTTTTTTGCATGGAATAATTGTTAGGGTTCATTCGAGGCTGCTTCTTTGCTTCAACATCCATAAAAGAAAAGGGATGGAATGCCTTTATTTCAAGGTGTTAGAGCAGTGATCTCCAAAGGGAGTAATTTTGTTACTATTTTGTCCTTTGTGGGACATGGTTTACAAAGCTCATCATATACTAGCCAATCAGCGAACGAATGAACGAACAAATGAACAAACAAATAAGTAAATAATTTCTAAAAAGAAAACGCACATGGAGCTATGTGCCCTTTTTTTCTTTTTAACTGACTGGGGCCTGTGTTCAAAAGGTCTGGTGACCACTGCTGTGAAGAGTTGCTCCTATCAGCATGTTAGCACTAGAGCTGATGACAGGGACCTCATTCTGGTGGGACATTTGGCAGGGGCCCCCATCAATCTCAGGTAGGAGACAGAAGAGATCCTTACCTGTAAAGTCATAGAGCTGTGGCAAAGAATCCAAAATGATGCCAACCAAAGGCAGGTAAAGGGCGGCAATTTTGACTTTCACCTCCGGTTTGACACAACGAGGGTCCAGGTCATGAGAACTTAGCAGGCTGTGGATGGCGCTGACAGCTTTTCTTTGCACTTTGCCGATTCTGTTGGCAAAACACAGAACGCTAGAGGTTATGGTGAAGGGAGCTTGACCAAAATGCTCTTGGACAGTAGAGCTAGATCAAAATGCTTCTAAACAACAAGGCGACAATGTGGAAACCAAGCAAAAGAGGGTAGAAATGTATATTAAATAGAATCCAATTTGTCTGTACTCTTTATTGTTTCCTATCATCTGGTTTGCATTTAGGGTTTGCTCTTCTTTTCCTCCTTCAGTATATATTCTTTTGACATTCACCCAAATCTCCATTTATGGTAGACAAATTGTAGTATATTTACAGAGGAATAATACATGCAGTTGAAAGAAAAATATGAACTGCTGATATGTGCAACCACACTGAAGGATCTCAGCAAAGGAATGTGAAGTTCAGTAAGAGGTCATACCAGCTGGTGATAAAACACAGAATAGTGGTTAACTGTGGGGGGAACATGACTGAAGGGGGCAATAGGAATATCTTGGGGTGCTAGAAATATCCTTTATCTTGATCTGGTGGGCAGTTACCCATAGGTAAAAATTAATTGCACTTTACACTTAAGATCTAGGCCCTTTATTGCATATAAATTATACTTCAATAAAAAGTAAATAAAATAAAATAAAGCATCTAGTAGAGTATCTGAAACCAAGCTGAAGATGTTCAATTTTTAAAATATACCTTTTCTTTTCAAATGGAACAAGGTTACATCAGAATTGAGGCTTATATGGAAAATATAAGCCAAAATTTTAAATGACTCAGATTTGCACACTGTGGCTAAAATAAGATAATTGTAAATTGCATTTCAAGTTGTTTTTGTTCTGACTACCAGCTTAGTCTGCAGTCCTGGCATTGGTTGTGTTTTGAATAAGGCAATACAATTTGCTAGCTTAGCACAAAGATGCTAGATAATTTCCAAATGCTTGAAAAACACTTTGGATTTAATAACATTTGTGGGTGCACCCAGGCGTGGGGGGTTCCAGGGAGGCCCACTGGAAACTGGAGCTGTGGCTTCTTACAAGGGTCCAGGTACTGAGATATGTCTCATTGGCTCTTTCCTCACAGCTGGGCAGGTGTTGGTAAGTCTATTAATTGTCTTGGCAGCAAAGAGAAGTGCTGATCAATAGAAAGTATTGTTAAAGGGAGAAATTTTCCTGAGGTTTTAGCCCCACATGCTGAAGTCGTGACAGTAATTATAATGACTTTGCAGGAGAGTAACTGACAACCCAGCAATCAGGGATAATTGTGTTGCCAAAGGAATGACACTGTTAATTAGTTACTCTCTGGGGGGTAGAAAAGGTACTAAGTGTGTGTGTGTGTGTGTGTGTGTGTGTGTATGTGTGTGTGTGTTTGAAGAATGTATCCATCTGATTAAACATAATTACATGATGATCTCTAATATACTCTACCCTGTTGCTAGTAATATATCAGCAACAAAAACAGATGCCAGGGCTGTTTCTAGCCAGAATGAAAATGGAAAATAGAAGTTATGCTAATGTAAATACTACAGATTATTTTCAGAAATCACTTAAAGCAGTGCTATTAAAGAACAATTAAGAAATGCGCATGTGTGTGCAATTTTGCACACACAATTTTGCATATGAAGGCAATTTTCTTCATGTCCAAATTTTCTTCTCAGCATCTTCTCAGCGTATGTGTCAGTGTACTTTTTGTTGCTGTGGAAATTTATGTCAGTTATAGAGTAGGAAATTCAACTGAGAAAACTGGGAGAAATTCAGTTAGGGTTGAGAGAAGATGGAATTGAAGCCATGGAAGATGAAGCTCTCTAAGGCTATTCTCAGAACCTGAATTTGTGTTAGGAGGTAGAATTTAGAGCTAAGAACATGAGATTTTCCCCACTGCCCCACAAGGAGACAGAGACATACATTCACTTGTGCGATGTCAATAGGTGCAAAGAGCTTGGAATATATTTGTTACTGCAGTTGCACAAACTTGATGTACTCCTGTAATTGTTTTATGCAGGGATATCGTGTTTCCTAAATTATAAACACTTTGAGAGAACTTGAGAACTTCCAATTAGACAAAAATCCATTATATACAGCAATGCTACCATTAATTAGCATACTTTATTCTGGAAACTTCTTTTGCAATAGAATTCATAGGAGTAGGTTCAGCAGGCAGGGAGATGGTTTGGTATGGTAGAATAAGTCCTGGAAAGGGTCTCAAAAGACCACGGCTCTAGATTTGGTTCTGCTATGTAATGTTGGGCAAGTTCTTTCAATTCTGTGTGCCTAATCTGAACACCAAAAGGACTAAAAAAAAGTTATTCTGTGGTTCCTCTCTCTCCCCTAATTTTTCTACATTCCCATCAGTGACACCTTTTGAAGACACGGATGCTTCTATTCCTCAGAACTGACGGACAGTAGAGTTTTTTTGCCAAGCTCGGGAATTTGGACTGCAAACTTTATTAAGGAGCATCCTTTTTTTTTTTTTAGCTTCATGTTCCATTTTAAATGTCAGAAACATACCCTTCCCCTTCGCAATCCAAGGCAGCAGACAGTTCCGTAAAGAGCAGCCCGGTGAGGAAGTGCTGCTGGCGGTACTCCGGAGTCAGGTCAAACATGCTGGCAATCTTCTGGTCCTGGAAACTGGAGCAGGAGCTCGAATTCTACAGAAGCACAAGGAGCAGTTTTAGGAATAACGAGAACTGGAATTAAGAGAGCAGTGCCGAGTATTTATGGAGCATCCCTTGCTCCAGCCAGACTTTGGGAGATAGGTACTGCTAGTATCCCATGTGACAGATAAGGAAACTGAGGCATGAGTGGTTACATCACTTTCCCATTCCCACAGATGGAGGTCTGAGAAGTGAGAAAGATGAAAATAAAGCACTCAGAGTCTACTGAAAAATGAATATCACTTCCTTCCCTACCTGAAGTTGAAGATTAAAATCCTAGAATAAAATCTGGATAGGGAAAGAAGAACCACATCTAATCTTGTGTCTGTGAGCAGGCAATTCCTCTAGAACCAACCACTCCCTTTATTTAAGGCCCCTGTTTACTCAGCTGCATTTCTGAATATGGCTTAAGCACATTGAATTTTGTTGGCCTGGAACTAGAAGTGGTATCAGGCAGGGAAGTGTCAGATTCACCAGTCGTAGGTAATTCCTGTCCTGTGTTCTTTCTTATCCTGGGAGCACACTTTATATTTCACCAACAGCATCTAAAGTGCCTCTGAAAATCCTTCACCAAGCCGTGGGGTTTGGTAACTCCCTGGGGCAGTCAGAAGGGGAATGTGGGGAGAGGATAAGGCAAGGTTAGGTCCAGGGTAGTCCTAGGATGGAACCTGCTGGGCGGGATGCAGCAGAAAGTTTACATATTTGGAATTGCTGCTTGTAAGTTGGACCTTTTCCAGTCCACGTTAAGATGGTCACGTAGCCTACATCTGGGTCATGTCATGTGGCATGAATGGCAAAGATTCTTTTCCATTAATAAGACAAGACTTCACCTTTGTGCTAGTGTCAAGGAATATGCAACAGAAATAGAACCTAATAAGGAGAACTTTTGCCTGCTGCTCCGAACTACTGATTTGCTCCCTGTAAATGAAATATGACTATAAAACAGCAATTCCTTAAAGTTGTTCTAGAGGACACTAGTCCTTTGAGCAATCTATGGGGTGGGAGTGGGGTTTCCATATATCAAATCACTTTGGGAATCACTGTTTATTACACGTCCCTCCCCTCATTTCCTTTTCCACTTTTTGGGCATTTACAATTTACATTCACTAGTTCAACATTCTTGGATGGCCTAATGCAAAGAAACCTGGTTGACATAGGGTCTCCCAAACTTATTTGACTTTGGAATCTTGTATTTGCATAATATAATAGTTGGTTAATATCAGACCAGGGAAGATATGAGATTTTTCTATGAGTTTCTGAATTGTCATAGTGCTTATGGATTCCTTGCTCTACTTGGCCTGATCAGGGACCCATAAGCCTAGGAAAAAACCAGTTACTGAGCCTGTAAACTGTTAGCTAAGATGGAGTAACTTTGGGTACCATACTTGATCTGGTTTGATTAGTTTGATTTTTCTTCTAATTAATAAGATGAACCTTTATAGGAAATACAAGATTAAACTAAGCTAATTGAATGAAATAGCTTGAATAAATCTGCTAGCTGGTTACCTGGGAAGATATGGAGGGAGAAGGCGATGTTGGAGCAGTATCAGCATTCATAAAAAAGAGGTTCAGATTGAGGTAATGTTCATGGCTACAGAGGATTCTCAGGAACTCCAGCCTCATGGAAATGAGCGTTGGAAGGTTATTGAGCTTGGCTGACAGCTGGGAAGAAAAAGAAAAAAGAGGAATGAAGAGTTTATTATAACGCAAATGGAGCTGAGGTTGGCAGACACAAAAATATCCTTTCTCCCCAGATGAAGGCAATCAATTTAATAAAAATTAATGGGATAGGCCGGGCGCGGTGGCTCGCGCCTGTAATCCTGGCACTCTGGGAGGCCGAGGCGGGCGGATTGCTCGAGGTCAGGAGTTCGAAACCAGCCTGAGCAAGAGCAAGACCCCGTCTCTACTATAAATAGAAATTAATTGGCCAACTCATATATATAGAAAAAATTAGCAGGGCATGGTGGTGCATGCCTGTAAGTCCCAGCTACTCGGGAGGCTGAGGCAGGAGGATCGCTTAAGCCCAGGAGTTTGAGGTTGCTGTGAGCTAGGCTGACGCCACGGCACTCACTTTAGCCTGGGCAACAGAGTGAGACTCTGTCTCAAAATAAATAAATAAAAAAAAAAAAAATTAGTGGGATAGTGCATCAGATGGCAAATTCTACGTTATAGGGAGGCCAAATAAGTTTTCATTCATTACTGTTTCCCTTAAAAATTTTAGCCTAATAGCTATCCAAAATGAGGGTTCTTGCCCTGACTCCCACTTTGTCAACCTTATAATACCATGGCAGGTCTGTGTTGAAAATAATCTTGCGGTATGTCTTCAGTGTAACATAATATAATTAATTTTACAAAAACTCGACTGTGTCTGAGAAATTAAATGAAAGGAGTAGACCTCACACGGGGCCATATGAAACTAATAGAATATGACTGGATGACTTTAATGCCAAATGTTCTTTTGTACTTTCTAATTAAAGGCCCCACTGGAAAGTTCTCTAACCAGTTTCCTAGAGGAAGGCATCAAACAACTTAGGAAAGTATGTACTACCTGTGAAAAAGTCAAGGAGCTTGCCCAAAAGCAAAGCTTGCCCAAAAAGTCAAGGAGCTTGAGAAAGAAGGAAATAGAGGAGAAAGAGAGAGAGGAAGCTGGAAGACTTTTTAGAAAACATCTTCCTTTAAAAAAACAAATAAACCAACCATGAAACAAGCAATGAAAAGCAGACAAAGGTGACTGGAAGAGGTCCCTTGCTTTCCTCTGGTGAGTTAAACAACCAAAAGACCCAGACTCAGAGGCACCTCCTCTAAAGGCAAAGTAGGAGAAGAAGGGGGTACTGGTGACCTGGAGCCCCTCAATATTTCATCATAAACACCCTCCCACCCCAGCATAGGAATTTGAAGCATGTCACCCTTGCAAAGGGACATGCCTCCTCTTCACTCACTTGGAGAGCATTTTTCTAAACTATAGAATTTAAATGAACACATATTTTCAGCCACTTGAGGAGAAGCCATTGTGTTGTGGGGCATTTTGCCTATAGAATTGATCCATGGTTAGAAATTTGCTTAAAACAAATGAATTTATATATTACACATGAAATAAAACATATGCCTTCCACGCAAGAACAGTTTCCAGAACCCATACCCTTTCAATATGTACTTCTGGCTGACTTTGGACCAGCGGGGCCACTAGCAAACTGAACTGATCAGAACCTGGTCAAATGCCCATCACTGAGAGTCTCTGGTAAAGAGGTGTTGGGTTAAGCTGGCTATCAGAACTTGAAAGCACAAGAGAGTTGCACTTCAAAGAAGGCCCCACTTTGGGTCTCTTTCATAGGTTTCTTGAGATATTGTTAAAGACATAAATTTCAAAAATAATTTGAGTTAAGTTAGCAAAGAGGAGTAAAGTGCATTCCCAAAACACCTTCCCCAAAGGTAAAGACCCACAGTGCCAGCGTCAGTGGCCCTACCCAAGCGATGGGTGTTAACTTAGTACTGCATTGTAGGCGACCGAAAGTAATTGAAGAAGTAAATTTGTCTATTGTTAGTGACTGTTAATAAAAGATTAAGGTTATATCCATTGCCATGAAGTCTTTACATGGCAGAAAACATGACAGGATGTTTGACTCAGGGTATACAAACTGATAAAATCCGACAACTTTGGGAAAATACCACTTGCCTCAGGTATGAGGTTCATTCTGTATCTAGAGAGCTGGGACCAGCGAATTAAATCACCATGAACTGGGGTCAGTAGCCTTGTTAGGCCTCAGTGCCACTATTGGGGATAAGCAATGTCCACCAATGTCACAGGCAGACGTAGAGCATAGAATCAGAGCGTCAAGATCTGGGGAAGTCCAACGCAGCCTTGTCTTTTTGCAGAGGAGGAAACGAATACCTCAAAAGTTCATGCTACCCAGTCCCAGGGGTGACTAATGGCATCACGGGAGTTAGAACACAGGTCTCCTGACCCCCGGTCTAGGGCTATCTGGCAGGGGAAAGGAAGAAAGAAAGAGTAAGCAGCTAAAAGAAAAGGAAAGAATTTAAAGAGAAAGATTGTGAGCAAGAGAAAAGAAAGAGAAAGAGAAAATGAAAATGTGCATTTTGCAGGGCAGGCAGACTTCCACTTTGGATTGCCTTATTTCCTTTTTTGGGACTAAAAACTGCCCATGTGGGACTAGCAAACCCTGGGCCTAGAGTGGTATTCCAGTATCTCTTTCCCGTATATCCAACTTAAAGGTTTGAAAACAGGTTAACTTGTATTTGAGATGCACCCAGTAACCTGGAATCCTAATCCTAAAAACCTAAAAAGGAGGGCAACAGGAGCAAAGTACCCCTGTGCCACTCTGTTCTGGGGCACCCTGGACAGACCATGCACTGTAGGGGCAGGAGGTCAGGGTGCATGGGATTGGTGATGCTCGGGGACTTCCGAGATTCCTTAGGATTCTTTTCTGTTATTCTGCTTCCTTGTCAGGACTTCCTTTAGAAAACTTAGTCTTTTTGTTTATATAGCGGATGATGGTCACATCATTTTCTTAGATAATGCCATAATCTCCTTTCATTCTTATATAAGCTCCAACACTATATGGTGCTTCCAAAACTTGGAGTGAGTTTGATGGATGATCTAGTAGCATGCATGTGAAGCAAACTTGTTAATAGAGATTATTTTTGTATTCTTTTAAGTATTTGCATGAGCATATTCTATGACTGTAAATAAGGCCATTTTTTAAATAATAAAATCGTGTTAAAATAATAATACGGTGAAAAAAAAGAAATGTTAGTGGTTTTTGAGGGGAGGGGTTATGCAAATGAGCCAAAGATCCTCTCTGTGTGTTGGCTCCTGGGCTGTTCATTTCTTCACTACAGACATCCATGGGTTAGCTCACACCAAAGTCAAATTTTCACACATCCAATTATTTAAAAAATAGCCCCAACAAGCAGATCTTTTAGTGCCTGTCTGCTGTGCAGATTCCATAAAACCTCTCTGGACAGCTGTTTTTCCTATTGATAAGATAGAGCCTTGTATTATGTAATAGTTACATCCCACCAAGCTGCTAGTGCCCACCCAGCTTTCTGACCTAGAGACTCCCAACTGAGCCCTGTAGCAACCTCACCTGGACATACAAGCCCCACCCTTGCGGGATGAGAAGAACAAAATGGCTAGCTCCGGGGACCACTCACCTGGTTGCAGTAATGTTTGATGAGGTTAAACACAAAGCCACGGTCCATGAGGGAGAGAAGGTCATACAAGAAGAAAGCCAGGCTGATGTTGATCTTTTCCGCTTGTTCGTTTTCCTTAAACACAAACATACAAACACCCAAATCATTTTGTGGTAAAACCTGAACATGAACTCCCAGATCCCTGGTGGGAAAGTTAGGAAAGGCAGGTCTTTTATTTCAGCCACTGTCCCTCTGGGTGACACTGGGCAAAGGAGATGAGTCTGCAAAACATCTTAGCAAATATAATTTAGCTTTTAACTGATGCCATGACTGTTGGGTTGGATCAAGTAATTCTTTATATACTGCTAGTACATAGGTGCATTTCCTTCTGGTCACTTTTTTTCCTACATGCATATTCGTATGTATATAATTGAGCTCGTTTTCTATATTCAAGATTGGGTCCTCAAATTTTTTGAAGCCTGGTAACTTTTTTTGTAACTATTTTTTGGGCAAGCTAACTTGAAATGTATTCATTGTCTTCAATGAGACAGTTTCTTAATTTATAAGGATTATTGTAGAAAATCCAATCAGGATAAAAGAATCAGCTTTTGCCTAAGGAATTTTCCCCCCAATTAGGCAGCATTCCCAGCCTAAGAGAGGTCAGAGTCATACTTGGTAAGGGTGAATTTCTGCCTGGATTGAGGCTAGGTTTTTTAAATTTTAATTTAATTAATTAATTTTTTATTTTTTGAGACAGAATCTCACTCTGTCACCCCAGCTAGTGTGCAGTGGTGTCATCATAGCTCACTGCAACCTCAAACTCCTGAGCTCAAGCAGATAGATCCTCCTGCCTCAGTCTCCAATTTTTCTATTTTTTTTTTTTTTGTAAAATGCTCAGGCTGGTCAAATTCCTAACCTCAAGTGATCCTCCAGCCTCCACCTCCCAGCGTGCTAGGATTACAGGTGTGACCCACTGTGCCTTGCCTAATTTTATTGTCTAATTATTTTGTGCTCATATATATGAGGAATTTTACAGCACTTCAGAGCAATCAGCGATTCACTTTTTCATGTTTATGTCCTTTATTCTCAGAATGACAAATCAATTTCCTCTGACACTATTAAAAATATGACTTGAAACTATTTTCTTCTTGTTATGATGCACAGTTTGCAAATTCAGGCCATGCTGACCAGTCCTGGGATGGATGTGGATCTGGTAAAGAGGTTTCTGCAGTGCCGATGAGAAATCCTGGAGCTCTCAGCACCCTCCCACATGGCTACCCCTGCTGAGTACTCTGCATGACTGTCTGTATATCTGGGCTTGGCATCTCCAGTGTGGCTTTGCTGCTAGCTGTGTGACTTTTGGAAAATTTATCAACCTCACTGTGCCTTATTTTCATGCCTGCCAATATGAAGATACCATTGCTGTTCTAACAAAGTTTGCCAGGAGGAATAGCCAAACGAAAACCTTCTCCCAAATTCTTGGCAGCATTTAAATTCTTTTTTTTGTTTGTTTTTTGTTTTTGAGACAGAGTCTCACTTTGTTGCCCAGGCTAGAGTGAGTGCCGTGGCGTCAGCCTAGCTCACAGCAACTTCAATCTCCTGGGCTCAAGCAATCCTCCTGCCTCAGCCTCCCAAGTAGCTGGGACTACAGGCATGCACCACCATGCCCGGCTAATTTTTTCTATATATATTAGTTGGCCAATTAATTTCTTTCTATTTATAGTAGAGACAGGGTCTCGCTCTTGCTCAGGCTGGTTTCGAACTCCTGACCTCGAGCAATCCGCCCATCTTGGCCTCCCAGAGTGCTAGGATTACAGACGTGAGCCACCACGCCTGGCCTCAAATTCTTAATAATGATAAAAGTATTAATAATAAACACTGTTCCCTAAATTTTATAGTTAACTTTTAACATTTTATTTCATTTTATGTATTTTTGAACTTTTATTCTGAAACCATTTCAAAATTATAGAATAAGTGCAAGAATAGTACAAAGAACTACTATATACCCTTTAAGAGTTCATCAATGTTTGACATTTGTTACATTTGTTTTACATTCTATTTCTTTCCAGAATTGTTTTTTCTCCTGAACCATTTGTGTGTAGGTTGCAAATATCATGCCCATTTACCCCATAATACTTAAGGATATTTCCTAAGAGCAAACATATTCTCTTTCTTATCTATATTGATATAATCATTTAAACTGTAATCCATATTGCAATTTCTTTATAACAATTTCCCAGCCCCATCCCTGGGTCCAGTCCAGTATAACATACTGCATTTAACTTTCACCACATAATTATATTTTAATTACTGTTTTAAAAGTTAATGCTCATTTTTCTCTTATTATGAAAGTAACACGTTCCAGGTAAACAATTTAGAAAGTAAAGAGTAAAATACACAGTTACCTTCTGAGGTTTTACTAAAAGGGCCGCGATCTCCGAGGTGACCACATTAACAATGGTAGTTATGTCATCTTTGAAACGGTCAGAGAAGCGAGTCCTCCGAAAACTGTCCCGTTTGTCCATGTTATGTACATACTGGGCCATGCTTTTCACCTATAGAGGGGGTGGGGGGAAATGTCAACATGGAGATTGGCGACCTGCTTGTACAATGTGGAAAGGGGGCAACACTCGGAGAACAGCTCTTTAACAATACACTTTCTAACACTGTGTCTGCGCTGGTGGTGCCCAAGCAGCCTCCGGACTGAAATGCTCCCGACCCACGAATGGTTACCATGGTGGCGGGAGGTGGGAAGGGTGTCCTCTTCTTGACCCCAAGTCAGGGGGCTCCCTTCTTGCTGCTGACAAAGCCAGGGCTTCATTCTTTAGCTACAGTGTTAGAAAACTCCCCTTCTCTGAACTGCCTACGTCCTGGAAGGCAGACCCGGGCTGGGCTCCTGGAACCACTAGGGCACCACGCCATCACAGCACGTCACACATGGCACAAAAAGGAACGTTTATGATCTTGTTCTTGATGTGAACTGGAGTCTTTTCTGTTCCTGAAACTACAGTAAGGACAACAGGGGAGAAATGTTCCTCCTATTTTGAGTTTCACAGTTTTTCTTAAGGGAGCAGAGTTTTCCCAGAGACGATTCTGTGGTTTCCAACAGAGTTATTAATACTTCCTGCTTCTATAAATCTCAACTATATTATATGTTGAGTAGGATTTTGTTGGCTAGCTGGAAACTTAGCCACTATTGGAACATTGCCTCTAGAGGAAATTATGCTTTGAGATATGTGTGTGTATTGTATACACACACACACACACACACACACACACACACACACATATAAAATCTATGTATGTGTCCATTGGTGACTGCCTGTATTATGACTAGGATAATACCAGCTCACTGCCTACCACAATTTTAAGTCAAGTTCATGCTTATCTTTTGGACTTCTTCTTGGGACCAGGAGATTCATGGGTCAATACAATCCGCCTTTGATACCATCTAAGGTTGAGTCTTGCCCTTGTTGGAAGTTGGTTAGAACTACTAGCAACATAGGAAATACTGGGAGTTCTTGTGGTTGGGTGCCTACACTCTGAGGTCATTTTCATGAATGTGTCCAGGCTAGTCAGAGAGTCACTGCAAAAAGAAATGAGCCTGGAAGTTGAGAAGTTAAGAGTTGAGATACTGACTTCCATCCCCTGCCCCTACCCTAGTCTGGGCTGGAAGAAAAGGAGACAAAGATAGTTGTATAGAAACTGACTTCCACTTCCAAGAGCTATATGGGAGAACTTTTATGTACTAACATCAGATTTCAGTTTTAAGGATGGCAAGTTTTGTTATCACTGAGACAAACAGAAAGAAAAAACACAGAGAAGGCGAAATAAGAAGAGAAAAAGGGGAGATAGACTTTATGTGTTTCCTGTTTTCAGATAATACCACAGCCAGCTCAGGGAAGACTTGAGAACATCCCAGGTTGTGCTAATACACTTGTGCTAATGTCCAAGTGTAAGAACCATGGTTTCTCTCCACTGCAGGGTCCTGTTTCGTTCAGGACGCATGGATGTACCCAAATCTCATAAAGCTGAACACACTTGGTGGGATGACCTTGATGAGGGGTGGAAACTGGACCCCATCTTTGTTCAACAAAAGTGTCTCTCTCACTACATGCTCCTAACAAAGGACGTAGGAAGATACGACCCCTTTGTTTTGGGCAACCCCAATCCCGAGTCTCTGCTGGCTACCCCACCTCAGCACCAGGCTGTATTCAGCTCCTGCCTGCAGAGTTTGGCCATCCTACAACCAAATAAATAATTCTCACAACACCGTTGTTCCAACTAATGGCCTCTTTCCAGACTGTCAGCAACTTGCCAGCTACTCTGTCTTCTGTGTCTCCAGAGAAGAATACCCAGTAGAAGAAATACTAGCAGATGCTTGGCCCATGATTTGTGGGCTGGGGAGAGGCAGGAAAAACTTCCCCCCCATACTGGCCTTTGTGGCACATTCAAAGTAGGGAGACCTCTAAAGAACTCCTTTAGTGCAGAACTTTGTGTCCTGAGTGAGTAAACTAGGTCACCCATGTATCTCTGGGTCTCCAAGGTCTGGCTCAGCAGTTTCTAGAAGCACAGGGATTTATTCATTAGCAAGTGCGGAATTCACCCAAGGATTGTGTTTGATAGCTCCAATGCCAAAGTGGTTGTTCATTAGCACTTGGGCATTGACACAACTAAAGGGTGTTAAAGTTGTTGGCTAAGCCTAAGGAGGCTGTTGTTTCTCTCTCTTCAAGCTTCTTGGGGGGAAAAAAAACTGTTTTGGTTTTTGAACAACTTCCTGGGCATCAGTCAGGCAAATATATAAACAATGCATGGAGGACTGGGTGCTCTGTCTGCATCTGAGATCAATTTCCTTGCAAAGTCCTGGCTAGGGCTGATAGTTTCCATTTGTCTCTCCCCCAACCCCAGGATGGATTTCTTGCCCTTCTCTGCCTGTCTCTGAATGCTGGGGAGCTGGGCTCTGGACCGCCCAGAGCCTCTGGACTGCTGGGGGAGAGACAAATGGAAGCTATCAGCCCCCTTGTCTTCTTGTCGGAGTTGGCTAATGTGAGGCACCTGCCGGGGGGTGGGGGAGGAAGAGGGAGGAGAGGGCGAAGGGGAGAGGCTAATGAGGGGTGCAGAGAGCCCAGGCATTACTCACTCTCACTGCCCTCATCCCTGTCTCAGTGGGGCTCTGGCAGAGGCAATGTTTTGCTAAGGCTCCAGCTCCTGTCATGTGGACCTTCTCTGCCTCCAGCTTTCTCTATGCCTCAGTGGCACTGTTCCCTACCCTTGATTCTTTAGAGCTAGGACAGATAAAAGCTCTGGCCATTGCTGCACCCCAGGTGCCTCACCAACCCTCACTGGCTGCTGTAACCGTGTGTACACCCTGGGCAGAGTCCTTTTGATCAATGCTTTTCAGTGAACCCTTTTGAGTAAGGCCAACTCTGTCCTGCCAGGACCCTGCCGAGCCCCGTGTAACTGGTGTCTTGGTTGACCTCCCTGTGGGCAACCCCCTCAATGTGCTCATATTAGCAGGGGCTTCCTTCCCAATTACTTCATCTGCTCCCCATAAGGGACTCTCTGGAGGTAAGAAGGGCTATGTGCTTTAGCTTTCGCTTTCTCTCCTGGGCCCACCAAGTCCTAGTAAATAAATGTGCAAGATTAGAAAGTTTTCACCTTTCCTTAGCTCCCTGCAGTTGGGGTCAGTGAAGCTGTATTCCTGAAGCCTTTGGTGGACCTGGAGACCCTCTTCATGGCCAACACCCTTCCCCCAACCCCATCTGTAAATTTGGGATAATAAAAACTCCTTTTGCCTCGAGGTTGGATGAGGATTAAATGAGATAATGCTTTTTAAAATGTTTAAAACAGTGCCTGGCATATATATAGTAAGATGCACAATACAGTTTAGATGTTATTATTTTTTCTTCCCCAGGGATGCCAGCTGCTACTGGGACTCTATGAAGGACAGAGGCATTGTTACACTGGCAGAGAATACAAACTTGCCTTCAAAAGAAAGCTCTAGATGCCACAAGGAACCACTCAGGGTTAGCAAACCTGTGTTCACTAAGACTGGGAATTAATTATTAGCATGAATCATCATCTCTAGATAGATTTTGACCCAAGTGAATCTTCTTTATGGAGAAACTTGATGGTGGGGGGGATGTGTAAATAGAAGCAGGATATACAGGGCATGGCGTGTTGGTTTTGATAATTCTTGTGCCTCAAGACAAAAGAGAGGAGTGGGTTTTATGGCCAGTCCATTTCCTGCCAGAGCACAGAGCTCATGTGTCACTGCTAATGCTCTTGCCCCAAGACTTGTGGGCTGCAGCCACCCACCTTCATCAGCCTGGCTTTTGGACTGTAAAAACTTCCAGTGCTGGCTGGGTACAAATTCCAAAAGACCCCCCTCTGCTTAGGATTTACAGAGCAGAGGTGGCGTGGACCAGTGGATCATTATTGTGTTTAGAAGTCACCTGAGACAGGTAAGTGCACACTGCTGGCCTCCACCCCTCCTAATTTTAGGAGTTCTAGGGAGGATCTCCAGAATCTGTTTCATTTTTACTAAGCACCCCCAGGTGATTTTGTTGTAGGGATTTAGAGCTGTGCTTTCAGACATTTCTCAAACTAGGGGTTGGGGACTTCATGAAACTCTGAAAGGTTTGAATCCTAGATGCATTTCTGTGGCATAAGCCTGACTTCTTTTTACCTCCACTGCACATCACTTCCCATTTCCTCCCCAGGGTGTTTTACTTCTGTTTCTTTTGACCCTTTTGTTCTTTCTTTTTTTTTTAATTTTCAAATTATTTATTTATTTATTTTTTTAAATTCAGTTCAGCATATTATGGGGGTACAAATGACCCCTTTGTTCTTTATGTCCTGTTGTTCAGCATTGCTTTCTTTTTCTTGTGCTTGAACTTACATATAAAAACTAGAGCTTAGGTGGAAACCCTACCATTTCTCTCTCTCTCTCTTTAAAAAATATGATTCACTTAATGTCACAGGGGAAAGAGCCCAGTGAATATAAAGCTAACACTATCGCTAAATCTCAACTGACTCCTAATCCTCTGAATTATTTTTATATACATTTTTACATAGGTGGTGTCTGTGCTTTTATCCTTTCTTCATTTAACATCATTTCACTGTGCATCTCCATTTATCAGCATTGACCAATGCTTATTCTTAGAGGCTTTGTGGTAAAACCCTACCACTTGCATTAATAATGATACGAAAATAGTTAAGACTATTATTCTCCTTATTTTAAAATTAAGGAATTACAGCTGTACCTTTTGCTTTTTTCGCTGAAGAAATGACAGAAGTTTTAGGGCAAACAGATGCACAAATTTCATACTTTTTCTAACAAATATTAGTTGGCACCTGTATGATACCAAGCAGTGTGCTGGGGCTAGAAATGGGGTAATGAAGACGACAGATCCAAAACCTAGAAATCTACTGGCTGAGATGGAAAAGCAATTGAGATAAGTACTAGGAAGGAAAGAAACAGGAAAGGTGTTTAAAAGGAGATAATAGGTGGAGACATATTACAGCATACAGTAGTCAGAAAAGGAGTCTTAAAGGTGGTGTCATTGAAGCTGAAACCTAAAGAGAAGGACACTGTGAGCTGGGGGGGTTGGGGAGTGAAGGGTCAGGAATGGGGAGAGAATCCAGAAAAGGCTTTGAAGCTGAAAAGACCTCTTCAAAGAACCAAAAAGGAAACAACGCGGCTGACTGAGGGGGGACCGTGCATGAGACGAGGCTAGAGATGGAGGTAATCGACAGAATTAGCGAGGGCTTTTCTGGCCATGATAGAAATTTGTGCTCTATTCTCAGCACACTGAAAGTCACTGAAGGGGTTTAAAGAGGGGAGTGGCATTATCTGTTTAACATGGGCTGCTCTGTGCAGAATCTATGAGCCAAGGGCAAAAATGGACACAGACAGGAAAAAGAGGACGACGCATGGTGGCCCGGCCAGGTGGGAAATGGGGAACATGATGGGAGGCAATGGGTTGGAGGTAGATTTTTAAGGTAAAATCAGCAGACTTTATGGAAGGTGAATGAAGGGGTGAGAGTTCAAGGAATGATCCCAGGTTCTTAGCAGGAGCAACTTGGTGAACAAGACGTCAATTCCTTTCTACCACGTTTCCCTTTTCCCTTTGCAGTTAGTTCTGAACGAGCAAGAATCTCACCAGGAGCTCGAAGAAGAACCAGGCGTACTTGAAGACTGTTTCTCTCACCATCCCAGTGCTGACCACCATCTGCAGGGCAAGTTCCTCGTGGAAATGCTGCACAACAACCACAAAAACCAGGTGATTATTCACCAACTCCTCTTTCCTTTACATTTTTCCCTCCAATTTAATAGCTTGTCAGTTCCTGAACATGTGTCCTAGATGTCCCAGGCCAAGTCAATGCCGAAAAAACCCGAGACCAAAGGCCACTGAGGTGGGTAGAAGGTTGGCATTGGTCCTGGATAGGAGAGCTGGGTTTGAAGGAATGGACTCGGAGGAAAGTGAAACTGCCTCCTATGGGGGAGCACTGCAGGGTAGCCGCTGAAACTGGTCCCATCTCTCCTCCTCTCAGATGCTGTTGCACACCCTCTATGTGACCACGGGTGAGCCATTCCTCTCTTTGCCCTCAATTTTCTCATTCATAAAATCAGGCAGTGGGAGAGCAGTTCTCCAACTAGAATGTGTATCAGCATCCCCTGGAGGGCTTGATAAACACAGGGCGCTGGGCCCCACCCCCAGAGATTCAGTAGGGCTGCGGCAGGGCTGGGGATTCTGCATTCCTAAAAAGTTCCCAGGTGATGCTGCTGCTGCTGCCGGCCCAGGGTCCCACTCTGAGGATGACTGTCTAGATGGCATCCAAACTCCCTTCCAGACTGGATAATTTTTGTTTTTGTAATCCCCCGATGGCATTGTGGGGAAAGGTGCTTGGTTGCGGCCGGGCACCCTGGCTCACGCCTGTAATCCTAGCACTCTGGGAGGCCAAGGCGGGCGGATTGCTCGAGGTCAGGAGTTCGAAACCAGCCTGAGCAAGAGCGAGACTCCGTCTCGACTCTAAATAGAAAGAAATTAATTGGCCAACTAATATATATATAGAAAAAATCAGCCGGGCACGGTGGCGCATGCCTGTAGTCCCAGCTAATTGGGAGGCTGAGGCAGGAGGATCGCTTGAGCCCAGGAGTTGGAGGTTGCTGTGAGCTAGGCTGATGCCACAGCACTCACTCTAGCCTGGGCAACAAAGTGAGACTCTGTCTCAAAAAAAAAAAAAAAAAAAAGGCACAGTGGTGTCAGCCTGAACTCACAACTTCCAAATTCCTATGTCCCAGAGTCAGATGCTTGAAAAGTCCCGCAGCTCCACTTTATATCTCACTTCCCTTCAAGTCCTTGACTACTCAATGCAGCAGATGGGGACTTACATCTTTCCCCATTTCCCAGCTTATCTGGCTTCTGGTGAATGCTCCAGACAATAGTTTTGATGGGGAAGAAAGAGTTCAAGACTGAAGGCAGGGCAACCGCTTCATCTCAGTGTGCCTGATACTGTCCTGGTCTTAAAATGGAAAGTCCTGCATCTTGGAGACTGCCTCAGTCCGGGCAAATCAGAATGGCTGGTCACCCTAACTAAAGGCAAAATCGATGTCTGGGAATTTTCTGTGCTTTCATTATTCTTACGCCCACAAAACCCAGATCTCATTTTTTTTTTTTTTAATTGTTCAGTGGGTAAGAAAGCTAAAACAATATGACATCCTTATGTGTGAGTTACGGGGTTTTTTTTTTTCTTTCTATTTTTCATAGAAATGGTGGAGTGGGGTGTGGAGGGTGGTCTCACTATGTTTCCCAGGCTGGTCTCCAACTCCTGGCCTTAAGCAATCCTCCAGTCTTGGCCTGCCTAAGTGCTGGGATTACAGGCAAGAGCCACCATGGCTGGCTGAAAGTTAAGTTTTAAAGTCAACCCCTAAAGTAAAAATTGATTAGGGCAAAGATTGTTCTTGATAGTCTTTTAAATTACCCACAGAGTATAGTATACCTGCAACCCAATTTACTAATTCTTATGCACATTAAAATTTGAGAGCTACTTAGCTAAACTAAAGGAAGACAAATGGAAAATCTCTGTGCTTGGGAGTTTTAACTACCTAGATCCCCAGTGGGTTAATGGTGATGAATGGAAAATGTTTAGGTACTTCAGCTATTAGTTGGTTTCACTTCATTTTGTGACATTAATCAAACCTTAATAATCTTAATACAAGTTTACTCATTTGTTTGCTGTTGTGAGTTTTAAGTGAGGCTCTCCCATCTGGGAGAGGCATGGAGTTGAATTTTAATCTAGCATGTGGTCTAACTGTGCACACTATGTAACTGGGCTACACCTTGATTTTCCCATTGCAGGAAAGACATGCCCAGCTTCCAAGGTAGCCTCTGGAAAATAGGTCAGTTTGGCTGCCAGAGTCTTATGGCAAGAAGAGATTAGACAAGGATAAGCTGCTGCTTAAAGTAATTTATGCTGCTTCTTGGGCTGCATTATTACAAGAACACCTTGCTCTAGAGGTTATAGAAAATAGCCAAGCAGCAAAACCCTGTTTGCCGAGAGCTATTAAGGAAACATATTGGCTAAACTTCTGTCTGAAATGAAATGACTCTCTTCTGGTCATTTGAGGTCAAAATATGGCAATTGCAAACCAAACAGGACATGCCTTAAGTAAGTCAGGCTGCAGGCAAATAATGGTTTTAAGAAAGATAATGGTATTCACACCCAGTCACTGCAAAGGGACTATGACAGCCTAATGCCAAATTTTAGAGTTAAGTGACAAGTTTGTTTTTAGCCTAACCATACCTTTCACTTTTCCTTTCATAGTGAACTCCTGGTACCTCTCCCTGGACACGTGGTGCTGAGTGATGGCAGTCTGCAGCTCCAGCCTCCCAGGCTAGATCCCTCCCTCATCCAGCCCAAGGGGAGCGGGCTGAGGCTCATTCCCTCCTCTGAGGCTCATTCCCTCCTCGCCTGCTTTTCATAAACATTTCCCTGCAGTGTCAGCTGTTGCAAATAGCTTCTTGTGTTATTCTTTGCAATGAGCATGTTTACATTTTAATCCGGGTCTTGAAAAACACTCAAGACTTGACTTAAGTAGCTACTATAACAGGTGCCCCAGAGAAGAAAACTTGGGACAGACCGCCCATGCCTCAGACCACCCAGGCTGTGACTATGATTGGAGGAATTTTGTTGGTTTAAGAAATTCTGGTAAGCAGTTTCACAGCTTGTACAGTTTCTGAACTCATAGGTAAGACTGATGATGGAGAATTATGAGAAAGCATTTCATATTACTTTATATAGTATCGAAATAAATGAAACTTAATTATTGCCTTTCACTTTTGTCAAGGATGAATTGTCTCCAGCTCACCTTCTACTGACAAAGGGGCTCATGCTGTGGTTCTTAAAGTGTGGATCAGCATCAGCCGGGAACTTGTAAGAAATGCAAATTCTTGGGCCCCAACTCAGATCTATTGAATCAGAAACTCTGGAGACACAGTCCAGCAATCAGTTTTAACAAACCTTCAAGGTAATTCTGATGCATGATAAAGTTGGAGAACCACTGAGTTAATGGGTAGTCAGGTGGTCAAAAAATGGAGATTAAGGTAGAGCTGCAAAAGTGTGTGTGTGAGATAGCAAGGTGGAGAACAAGGTAAGAGAGCACTCTGATGGTGTCTATTTTGAATCACAGAGGGAGAGCATGGACAAATCCTTTTTTCATTATCCTGCGATTATCCTCATACTGCCCTGCTCAGTACCTTTTTGCTGGCTGGCCTTGGGGCTGCAGTCGAACTTGGAACATCATTATTGCCAGAGCAGTAGTAAGACATCCTGTTACAGTTGCGGTCAGCAATCTGAAACACACAAACCATGGCTTCATAGTCAACCGACAGTGGGACAATGGAAAGGTGAGCCAGCTCCCCGGAAATCATAACCTCAGGATTCATTCTTTTTTCATAATTCACTTTTAATATATATATATTTTTTTTATGGTTTCAAAGGTAAAACAATTGCCATAAATAAGTATAAAACAGAGAAGGTGAAGTTACTCCTGATTTCACTTGCTCCTGAGATAATCACTATCGTTAGTTCGGTGTGCAGCAACCTATAGTTAAAAACCAGTTAGGAATCAGGGCCTGCTGAATAGTTTCTTCCTACATTCTAAGTCTGACTTTCTTGGGAGAGCAGGAAAAAGGTGTGGGCACAGTGCCTCCCTGTGGTTTAGTATGGTGCTGTACTCAGTCTCCTAAACTATAAACCGTCAAAAACCACTCTGAAAAGAAGTGGAAAGGTCATTTTCTATTCTTTTGGTTTGACAAAAATTTCTCCCCTTGCTACAAAATAATTAGAAAATTGTTAACCCAGACCACATAGAAATATAATATTTTCATTTTCATTCAGGAAAATGATAAAGATAAAGGCTGTCAATCATATCTGCAGGCTACATCTTCCCTGGGCAATCAGAAAATGGGACCTTGAAAACGAGGTTGAGCCATGTTATGCCAGCAAATGTTTAACAACCAGCTTTCAGCGGGAAGGGGCTAATTTGTAGCATTTGCCAATTTCTGTGCTGTAAATATCTCCATCATGGCTGATTTCCATCTACCAACATGACATCATGGAAATGCAGAGCTGGGAAGAGATGTACAGTAGCAAACCATTGTATCACATTTCTACCATATAGATGCAACTGGTGTAAACACCTCAAGAATACAGATAATAGCAACATGTAGCAAAGTAATTAGAAAGGGATGAGGTTTACCTTTTTAAATTGAACTTTTAACTTTGGAATGATTAAATTGTTATAGTTATTATTAGATTTATAGACAAGTTGCAAAGGTACGACTTTGCAAAGGAACAACAGAGAGTTCTTACATGTCTTCCATCTGGTTTCCCTTAATGTTGATATCTTATATAATAGGGGACGTTTGTCCTAACTAAGACATTGACACTGATGGCTTACCATTAACTAAACCACAGACTTTATTCAGACTATACCAATTTTTCTGCTAATGTCTTATTTTTGTTCTGTAATACAATTCAGGCTACCATTTCATTTCAATTACCTTAGTTTTTTGGGGTTTTCTTGAGACAGAGTCTCACTGTATTGCCCAGGCTAGAGTGAGTGCCGTGGTGCCAGCCTAGCTCACAGCAACCTCAAACTCCTGGGCTCAAGCAATCCTTCTGCCTCAGCCTCCCGAGTAGCTGGGACTACAGGCATGCACCACCATGCCCGGCTAATTTTTTCTATATATATATTAGTTGGCCAATTAATTTCTATTTATAGTAGAGGCGAGGTCTCTCTCTTGCTCAGGCTGGTTTCGAACTCCTAACCTGGAGCAATCTGCACGCCTTGGCCTCCCAGAGTATGGGATGAGAATTATGTCATAATTTAAAAAAAAAATTCCAAATGAGAGACGTTCAGCAATCTACCTATTGCTCCTCAAACCTGTCAAGGTCATGAAAGACAAAGAAAGTCTAAGAAATTGTCACCGGCAAGAGAAGCCTACGGAGACATGACTGCAACATGTCATGTATTACTCTGGATGGGATCCTGGAACAGAAACAGGACATTAGAGAAAAACTGAGAAGACGTGAATAAACAATGAACTCAAGTTAATGATAATATTGCATTAATACTGGTTCATTAATTGTGCCAAATGTATCATTCTATTATAAAATGTTCACAGGGAAACAGCACAGGGTCTATAACACATTTCTGTACTACAGTCACAATTCTGTAAATCTAAAGCTATTTGATAATAAAAAGTCGATCAAGAAAAAAATAAAGAATTCATGGAAGGAGAGATAATATAGGGCAAGTCATCAACCCTTTGTTTGTTTAGAAAATTTGGTGTTGCTCCTTGGGATCTTTATATAGGACAATTAACCTGTGGCTGCTAATGAATGTCAAAGGAAGATGTTTAAAAAAAACCCCACACAAAACAAAATTAAAAACCACCTTTCTAGGCATTAAGAAAAGCAAAAGCAAAATTTATTTTCCTTGAAAATAAAATTTCTGGTATTCACTAACTCCATGTGGCTAAACCAGCGATGCTCTGAAGTATTTTACCAGAGCTAACTAGTTCTGAGCAGATCCTCAAATGCCAGTCTTGTCACCGCATCTTTCAGGTGGTCTCAATCCACCCAAAAGGAAAGCACGTTCGTTGCTCTAAAGCTGAAGATTAAAGCGTCTGACCAAGAAGAGGGCAGCAGTTGTGGTTGTTTTTGTGTTGTTTCTCCAATTTGTATTTAAAAAATAAAAAAGACCTGTGTCCCCTTCCAGGGTTTGACATCTTCCCTACCTTTGAAGACATGATGCTCTTCACTTCCTCGTCCGCCGCGGAGTGCGCGGTCCCGGCGAGGTCTGGGTTACTGCTGCTCATCACCCGGGCCTGCAGCAGCTTGGAGCTCACGGCAGCAGCGGACGTGCGCCCGTACGTGTGGTAGCGGGGGTCAGGGAGGGCAGGGGGGGCACCTGCACCCCGCCGGGCATGGACATGTCAACAGAAAGGGGACCAGAGTCACTTCCTGACTTAAGAAGGAACTGAAGAGGGACAGGGTAGACGAAAACCCACTAGATTAGGCCTTGGAATTAAGGTCTTATTATCAAATGCTAGGGTGGAGTGGAGAGGGAGGCATTCTTTCGTGGGGGAGTAGATAGGGTCTGAGGCACTAGGGAGTGGTGAAGACTGCGGTAAACTGGATCCGCTTGTCTCACCCAAAGGCAGAGGGTGCTACTCAGCTCCAGCCCATTATTGCCATGGGGAATCAGACTCGCCCCCACCCCACGGTTGCCAGAGCTTCTGATTTCTCATAAGAAGCTGAAAATATGGATATTTTTTATTTACTGACATTTAAGTGATGACAACTTTTTAATTCATGCAGTCAGCTTTCCTGAGATTCAAAAATCCATAGAGTCACCTGAACGTTCTGAGGATCAGCATATGCAATGTATGGATATGTTTCATCTTTAAGTACTGGGATGTTTTTAAAAACACTTCTGTGAGTTTATCAGATACCACCAGAATTTTAAAAAACTCAATCAAAATTACAAATTTACTTGAAATGAGGGTTCACAGACTAACATAAGTGACAAGTTTATTCAGGCCTGGAATTTTGGGAACTCATGGATTCACTTCTTATATCATACGGACCACGGGGAAATCGATTATTTCAAAAGTTCAGTTTGAGGAAAATGAGAACAGGGATTTATTTTTTCATAATGAAAAGGTTAAGAACCACTGTCACTGGATGTATGTTATTTTCCTTATCATTATTATCCTAGAACCCTAGGCATTAGTCGGCACTTTTCCATCTTTTAAAAAAGAGATCCCCAACTGAACCACAAATTATAACAGCAACTGGATAAAGACCAGTGAGAGTTTATCAAATGGGCAGACAAAGTGGGCCTAGAGCATAAAAAGAGGCCAGGAAGAAAGATCTAGAGAGAAATTTTTTAAATTTCAGCATTCATGTAAGTTTTGTATCATTCTGAAAAATAAAATGGAACTTTTGGGTGTTTTATTTTATCTTGGATGACACAGCAGTGGGGTGGAGGTGGGGGTGCCCTGCCCGCCAGCCCCCCGCCCTTGGGGCAATGCTACCTGACTTGGGTAAGTCCCTCTGCAGCTCCGGCAGGCGGAAGACGTAGTGCACGTAGGAGGCCAGCAGGCAGTTCCGCCCGTGCTGGTCCTTGCTCAGGTCCTTGCTGTTGTGCAGACTGTTGGCGATGGCCACCACGGACTCGAAGGCAAACTGGGAGAAGTTGGCTGAGAAATCAAGAGAAAAAAGGGCAGTGCCAATGTGTCCTGACCACCGACCAGGGTAACCAGGCTGGTCGGTGTGGTGGCCCCGGCAGGGGAAGCTGTTCTGGTGAGCTCCAGGATGCAGGCTCTGTCTGCCATAGATGATGTCCCCACTCCCTCTTTAGATCTTCTTCCTGCTGCCACTGAGTGGCATGATGTTTTTCATGACAAAGACATGACTGTCCAGATGTCTTCCCTCTCTAAACCAGGCTGTAACTGGTGCCACTCAGCGGGGGCTGCAGACTGACATTATCAGTATCACCAAGACACTACTTAGAAATGCACAATCTCAGGCCCCCACCCTGGACGTACCGCGTGAGAATCTGCATTTTTATAAGGTGCCCAGGTGATGCGTATATACGCTATGATTTGAGATGTGCAGTTGCACAACCCAGATTCTTGCGCAGATTAACCTAAAAATGTATGTGCATCATGGCAGTCCCCACAGGAGGTGAATACAAACTACTGATTTATTGTACATGCCCTCTGGGTCTGGCGTACCAAACCTCTAGCATTTGGCTCAAACCTACTTATCCAACACACTATCCTTTTCTACTCATATTCAACTTCCCTTAAAAGGAGGCAATCATCCCATTGTCCTGTCACATGGCCACTCTTTCTCACCTCTGTGACTTTTTGCATGCTGTTGTCCTCACCTAGCAAGCCTTCCTTGCTCCTAACTGCAAAATCACACCAACCCTTCAATGCTTAGCACAAGTTCTACCTCCTCCATGAAGCCTTTGACAATTCATAGTACAGGGCTTGAGTGTAACTGAATTAGGTGATTCTCTAGCTATTTCAGGTGGGAAACTCAGTCTCTCTGTGAAGGCTGGAAATCCTTCATGGGCAAGGTGCATTTCTCATACTTTGTTGTCCATCCCCTCCCCCCGCTGTGCTAGACACAGAGCAGGTTCTGAATAAAGGCTTGCAGACTAAGTGCCTCCACTTAGTCTGCCTGTGCCAACACTCCGTGGTGCCCACGTGCAAGATGGCAACTCGCTATGGAGAAAAAGCTTAAAATATGTAAATAAACATTTTGTTTAGGGACAAGTCTGCATTCAATAGCTGGAAGACACAAAGCAGTGTGCCACATAAGTGGGGGCATGGAAGGGAACTGAAGGAGGGCAGGGGTTTCTGCTCTGCGGGAATCGAGCTGGAGAGGCAACAGCTGCCTGGAGGAACAGTTAGTCTATGACCCAGGATGTCTTTTATTTTTGAGACAGAGTCCCGCTTTGTTGTCCAGGCTAGAGTGAGTGCTGTGGCATCAGCCTAGATCACAGCAGCCTCAAACTCCTGGGCTCAAGCAATCCTCCTGCCTCAGCCTCCTGAGTAGCTGAGATTACAGGCATGCGCCACCATGCCTGGCTAATTTTTTCTCTATATATTAGTTGGCCAATTAATTTCTTTCTATTTATAGTAGAGACAGGGTCTCGCTCTTGCTCAGGCAGGTTTCGAACTCCTGACCTCAAGCAATCTGCCCGCCTAAGGCCTCCTAGGACCCAGGATATCTTATCTGCATAACCACAAAAGATGCATCTTAGGATGTGATGCAAAGCACGGATAAGGAGGACATGCCCTTCCCAGCTCTGAAAGCTCCCCCACTTCTGTGTCGCAGCCCATTTCAGCACTTGCTCCTACTCCATCGCCTGACTGTGCAGCTGGCCTCGTTCCCAGCACTCCCGTGCTCTTCTGGGTCTCTGCTGGTGCCATGTCCACTGCATGGCCCCACCTTGGGCGCTTTCACTCTACCCCTCCTTCCAGGTCACCTTCTTCAAGGGGCCTCCTGCGTCCTCCCAGGTGAGTGTTTTCGCTTTCTCTTCTTCGATACCACCCTTCCCACCACCCCCGCAATATTTCACTGCGGCCCTTTGAGGACTTCTGTCCTGTGCCGCTGGCTCTTAGCTGTGTTGTGGGTCCTCCGAGGTCTGAGATGCTCTTAGTTATGGTCGCAAAGGCTACAGATTTTAGCACAGTGCTGGGCACGCGAATGGTACCCCAAAACATCTTCTGCACTGGAGTGCAAAGGACCTTATCAGCACAGCTGAAAACAGTGGCAAATGAAGATGCCTACACCAGCCAGTCCACCCTGGACCCTGGTCATGCCTCCAATATAAGCTTTTGACATATACTGTATTTAATTTGCTAAAACTAAGCATTTAAAATAGACTGTCAGAGAGAAAACAGATGAGTGGCTGCCAGGGGCTGGGGGCGGGGTGAATGGGGAGTGACTGCTAAAGGCTGTGGGGTTTCATTTAGGGTTGATGGAAATATTCTGGAATTAGATAGTGGTTGGTGATAACTGCACAACCTTGTGAATATACTAAAAACCACTGAGCTGTACACTTTGAAATAGTGAATTTATGGTATGGGTATTGTATTTCAATAAAAAAGGTGGTCACATTGCATTTCAATTTAGAGAGTTCCTTCCCTCCATTTAATATGCGTTGTCTTACTTCTTTAAAATGTTCTATTTCTTTGTTAGTAAAGAAAACAAAAATATTAATATCTTAGAGGCAAAATAAAGCCATAAATTACTAGGAAGATAATTTGAAAGACTGCCTGTAATCATGCAATGGAGTTTATGGGGAAAAAAAAGCTATGATATTAAGAACCCTGTTTTAATGTTTCTTTTTCTTTTTAAACATGCAGAGAGTCTCAATAAAATAGCACTGAACTTGGCCTCCCTTGAACTCACATCATCAGTGGAAAGGAAGATCCCATTGTCCCCAGACTTCTGGAAGATGATGTTTCATTAAACAGGGCAGCGCCTGCCCGCTCCTGGCCTCTCCCAGCCCCGCAGGCTTTACCTGTCTGGCCGGCGATGACCATGGGCTGCACGGACAGCTGGAACAGCTTGTCCAGCACCAGGTGCAGGAAGAGCACCAGCGGCTCCAGGCGGGAGGAGTTCAGGCAGATGATGCTGAGCTTCAGCTCGTGCTCCAGCGCAGTCTCACTGATCTTCTGGTCCAGCACGCGGATGGGGAAGGTCACCTGGCTCTCCAGGGAGTGGCAGAGGGTGAAGAACTTCTCCAGGTGATTGTCCTGGGAAGGCAGAAAGCAGGCATCATGGGGTCTTATCCCATCAGTGTTCACCAATGGATTCACAAACACAATCGAATAGCTCTTTTTTTTTTTTTTTCTTTTTTCTTTTTTCTACTGTGCAACCCACTTCAGTGCCAGGAGCCTACGGACACAGGCCAGGCAATGGTTTGGGGCCACAGTTTGCTCTGGCATGGGACACTATGAGTCGAATAGCTCTTTATGGGTAGCACTGGTCCTATCCAGGGTTTCAGACCACAGGTTCTAAGACATGATGTTTCAGACCAAGGCTATGAACTTTGTCATAGAATACAGTACACAAAATAGGACCCCTCAATAATTATTAACTAAAGACAAAATAGCGTAGGCTCTGGCACGTTCTGTAAGCAGAGGTCAGCACACCAGGTAAACACACTGCCGAGAAAGGGGCCTAAGCAGATGACAGTGGCAGGCAAAGAGGGAGTATGGATTTTTTTTTTTTTTTTCCAAAGGCTGGGAAATTGGCAGAATTACAGAGGGGAGTGAGATAACAGCAGACAAACTCTTTCAGATCCAGTCTCCCCATAAAGTTTCTCAATTGACAGCTACTAGGTTCTCTCATTTAGGTGCTAAACATTTTTGTAAGGTCTTTTTATTCAAATGACAAATGAAACCTGAGTAGGCTTGCAAGTCTCCACAAAGAACTAAGGTTGTTTTTCATTTATCTGTAGACAAAGATTTTCACTGATTTTTTTGTTTTGTTTTGGTGCCTGTCCTTAGAAGGTTTCTCTGCTGCATCTCCGCCTTCACTGTTAGCCATCTGGGCCTGATCTGAAGTTGGCCTTGATGGTCCTTACCTGGGTATGAACAGAAGACACAGCTTGCACTTCAATATTAAATACTCCCTTATGTCCTTCAGCCCATTTAATGGGAGGATTCTGTAAAGGGACTTTCTGTGTTAAAGAGGAAAAAAAAAAAAAAAGATTAGTAATCCAATATCCTTTTCTGTTTATAAACAAATACTACAAAGCAATTTGACTATAAATGTCAGGATTATACAAATACAAAACTCTCCTGAAAACTATTGTAGCTAACCTTGGAGTCAGGAACTCTGGGTTCAAGTTTTTAATTCTGCCCCAAACTAATTATTTTTACTTTGACAAGAAAATTAAACTCTCTGGGTCCCAGTGTTTTCATGCCACAAGGGGAAGAGTGAACTGAGTGGTGTGTCTCTAAGCTCCCACCCAGCATCTATGATCCTGGATTCTAGAAACTGAAACAAAAGGAATCTTCCAGCAATTTTTCTATTAATCAGGAATGTCAGGACAAAGTATAGAATGTCTTTACAAGACGTAAAATTTTAAAGCTTTTGAGCACCCGAAATTACTTTCCCGCTTAAAAAAGTGTTTCCAAGTAGCAGGGATGCTTGGCTCTTGATTTAATTACTCATAGTGACTCTTTTATACCATTTATGTATCAATATGTGTGTAGGCCTGAGAGAGAGTTTCTTGCTTTGAATTCGCATTGGAATTGAATTCCTCTGGAGGTGCCGTTCAGTGTTGAGTGAGGAGGGCCTAGCCTGGGTTTTATCTTTTTCATTTTAATGGAAGGAAGCGTGCTGTACGTGCAAGGGTGGACGTGTGCATGGGACGGAGACCTTTGGAGCTATCTAAAGCAGAGTCACGAACTGGGGCCCAAAGCTCGCCCCAGCCCACAGACAAGTTCTGTTTGACCCACAGAGTGTTGGAAACTTTTTTGAATTAGTTGCCAACATTAGGAAGTTAGAAAATTTCATATAAATGACTGCTTTTCTAACTTCATTTGAGAACTGGAAGACATGAAAACACTAGCCTTGTATCCCAGCATGGAACCAATCTGTACAGCCGAGGGGCAGCCAGACCTTTAGATGGGGCAATCTCCAGAGTGAACAAATGCCACCAGACCCTGGCATTCATCTATGTTACTCCTGTGGGCACAAGAGTTTGCCATCTATGATCCCAAACTGAACTGTCCTATGGAAATATAATGTGAGCCACAGATGCACTATTATCATTTCATTTCATTTTTTGAGGCAAGGTCTCTCGCTCTGTTGCCTGGGCTAGAGTGCAGTGGTACCATAATTGCTCAACCTCAAACTCCTAGAGCTCAAGCAATCCTCCTGCCTCAGCCTTCCCAGTAGCTGGGGCTACAGGTGTGCACCACCATGCCTGGCTAATTTTCATATTTTTTGTAGAGATGGGGTCTTACTATGTTGCCCAGGCTGGTCTCTAACTCCTGGCCTCATGCGATCCTCCTGCCTTGGCCTCCCTAAGTGCTGGGAATGCAGGTGTGAGCCACTGTGCCCAGTCTGAGTCCTTATCTTTCAAGATACATACTAAAATGTTTATAAATGAAATGATATGATGTCTGGGATTTGCTTCAAAATAATACTTATTAATGTAAACCTATACAAGGGACTGAGGCATGTGATAGTAGTGCTGATGTGGGCAGGATGGAGAGTCCCCTGGGGTCTCTTTAAATGGGTGCAATGCGGCAGAGTGGATGGGCAAGAGGGAGTGCAGGAAACAGGAAGGGAGAAGGCTATTGGCACTGGGATCTTTAGAGGAATAAAACTGGCCTGGTCGTATCCTCCTGGGGGCTGTGACAATTGATCCAGAGAAGGAATGGATGGAATCTGGCCTGAGAATCTTTCATAAGCATCCTTGCTAGAAGCAGTTGTTTATCACAAGTGGGCTCAGTTTGCCTCCTCTTCTGCAATTTATTTTTCTGAGAACCCCTCTGTGGTAGATAATGCAAGGTAACGCCACCTTGGATACAGGTTGCCTCTACTAAACGGTCTGATCTGGTGACATCTAAATGCACGAGGTTGCACAGCCAGTTGTTACCCCCTCCCGTCCTATCAGAACAGTGTGCTCTCTCAGAAGACACCGTGTGCTCCAGAAAACATGATGAGCGTTCTCAGCCACATCTAAGAGAACAGGAAGGGGGTCTGGGGAGGTGGTCCAAGACCACGGTGGGACAGGAAACAGCTGGTTACCTCGGCAGAATGCATGGAGTAGTTGGGTGGCAATTTTTCTAAGGCAACCGGGAGACAGTAGGATCCAGTTTGAAGACGTTCATTTAAGAGAATTGGCAGCCACTGAAACAGATGATGTAAAGAATAAAGTGGTATTTATTACAGCACATAATTCCGGCAATTTATCTAGCTCACAATAATCAAATGCAACTAAACAATGATTAGATATTGACCGGGGCTCTTTTTGGCAGTAATTTCTATCAAGTTCTTTGCATTTAAAATTCCCTGAGAGCTCCTGAGATGGTAATATCGATGATTTACTGCTTTCAGAGCCGAAGCAGTAGCATTTTTCTTCACAGCCAATGTTTGTGTGTGTCTGAACAACATTAATGTTTATTTTACCTTTTATATTTTTTAAAGAAATAACTTTTATTCCCCCTTGGGGGGGAAAAGAGCTAGTTGTATATGTGAAGTGCACATATTAAATTTAGAAATAATGGACATTGCAATGCTTTTTTAAAAAAAAAAAAAATATTCTTTCAATATCTATCACCCGCTAGCTTTCCATTCCTGAAATTTGACATTGGCTAAGTCAAATCATTTCTGCTTTTTGCTGTGATCTGGTTTAGCATGTTTTGCTACTTCTGACAAGAGAAAAGCAAGTGAATGGAATTTCGTTGTTTATCTCTGCAGGGACCTTGGAAGCACCAACAACTGCAGGGTGAGCCGGCAAGCTAAAAACAACTCACTGAATATCCCAGGAGACTTTCCACGGAGGCTCCTTGCTTCTGCTGACAGCTGATGTGATAGAAGGTGAACAGGAGGTGGTGATTTACTGTGAGCTTAGCAGGGAGCTTAATTTTCACTTCTTCATAAAAATCAGGAGACCTGTTTCAAAAGCACATTATACACAAATAGCTTTTAGCAAGAATGATGGCTTCTCTGACTATAAATTGTAACACCACGGAACCATTGCTCCTCCGAACTTGCCTGCTTGTTGTTAGTACTTTTCATTTTACATTGCTCTGCTCCTAAGCTGCAAGTCCTTGAGCCCAAGCCTATGTTATTAGATACCCTTCACTTACATTAAACCTCGAGCCAACGAAAGGCTTTGTCAGGAAAACAACTCCCCCCACGTGATGGAAAAACCCAACAACGTAATTTGAAAAGGGGATGAGGTTCTGAGTCCTGCTGTGACCTCCCCTGTCCACCTCCACCCTGAGAACAGAGCTTGGCACCCTGTCAGCCATCATCAAGGGACCACAGAAACAAATGGATGATGCAGGAAGGAAATTTCACTGAATTATGGAGTCCTACTTTACTGAGAGCTTCATGTACATTACCTCACCTAATCCTCATCCCGACCTTGGGATGTGGTCAAATGAAGCGCTTAAACGGGCCAAGGTTAGCAGGCCAGGATCAAACCCAATTCTATCTGACACTGCACAGATGTCCCTCCCTTACCCGTGGAACATGAATATAACAGTGTAGACATTATTCTGTGACTCAATTTGCGGATACAGTAAGGAGGGTTCCATGTTTCCTCTGGACAACTTAGAGTATGGACTGGAGCAGGTGTGGAGTGGTAGGGAAGACGGGGACACAACAAGGCAAAGCCCCTCCAGTACCTCAAAGCAAGTTAGGAAATTTATTTATTTAACATTAGACAATTTCTCTGCTTCACACTAGAACAGAAGGCTCCAGAAGGGTCAAAGCCATATTGGATTCTTGAAGATATGTTCTTCTCTCACTTTTAGTTAATGGCAGAGCTGTGCATCTCCAGCACAGAATCATGGAACTGGCATGAGTTTCCTTTGTCCCTTAGTCACTGAATTATCAAAGCTTTTGGGAGGAATCACCCAGGGGACTCAGAAAAGCCAGGAGATAATAAAACAATCTTGGCCTATGTTTAGAACTCTGAAATATACTCACTTATTATGGTATGTAATGGCTGTGTACACTTCCTGCAGAAATTCAGGCCCACTGGACTTTCCAAAGATGACCTGTTCACCAAATACACAAAGGATCAAATTGGACATTTGGGTATAGAAAATTGACAGTTGTCAGGCCAATAGGATGTTCTAGTCTCACAGAGCTATAGTTTGTACATTAAGAGTTCTGGATTCTACAACTGGTCCAACCATACCAGTGCTGAAGAACTGGCTATGAAAGGGAAACTGAGGTTTTAAGAGGCTTTATTAATGACCAAGGCCCACAGGTTTGTGAGATTGGAAAACCAGCATTCTCTCCACTCTGCCTTATTACCTAGAGGTCTACACAACAGGGCAAAAAACACATCCTTTTGCCCTCAGTGAGAAAGCCCTGGAGCAGGTGCTTCTCTTTCCAAAGACATGGGCCTGGGCACTGGGGGTGATGTGGATCTTCACTGCCCTGTCCACATGTTTGTAATATTTACAAAAAAGATATCTCCTAAGGCTTGAAGCAGCCTTTAGGATGCACATGATTGACAAGCAGACTTACCTTTGAGCAAAGAAAAAAAGCCACCTCTTCTAGATGCAGTAATCCCCATGCCAGGTCCCAGGGCTCAGTGGGTGGAGAAGAGGCTAGAATTTAGCCCCCACTGGCTCCTTGGCTGGGTATCTTAGCTACATACAGGATGTGCGGCAGCCCTGGTGGTAACCTGCCAGGGGCCAGAGCAGAGGGGACTAGGAGGATCCTACCACCGTTGTAAGAGGACACCTTGCATCAGGAAGATAGGTGGGACATTGGGAAGAAGGTTTAAAAAAAGGTAGATATTTAAAGAATGGAAGCACTGGGGAAAAAATTACTTTAGTAGAAAAGCTTATTAACTGAATTCTATGGCTTATGGAAAGTCGTAATAACTAACCACCATCTCATTTAATGGCAGATGGCCAAAAAGAATAAATTCTGGCATTTTGGGTTCCTGAGAGTGTAATCATGAGACCAGCATAAACTGGGCCTATTCTCTTGATAACAGAATGTCAAGTTACCTTGTAGGTATAACAGAGCCCCAAACTGCAAGTCATGTAGCCTAGGTGTGCGGGATAGAAAAAGCTTGGACCTCTAACAACACCGGACCAAGAAGTCCTCCCCGTGGCACCAAGAAGACTGAGAAGTGACTAGAACCCGAATGCTAGAACTCTTGCAGAAATGAGGGATCTGTTGGCTTGGAAGGTCCATGGCTAAAATCTACCTCAACAAACCTTACTATAAATGGTCCAATATATACCCCCCTATGCAGACCCTGCCAAGCTGACATTCCTAAATCCTTTCCCTTGCCCTCTGAGCCCCACACCCCAAACTTGGGAGACAGATTTGAGACTGTCTCCTGTCTCCTTGCTGGGCGGCATCACAATAAAGCTGGTACCACAGTATTGGCTTCTGGGCATCAGGCAGTGAGCCCGTTCGATAACAAGAGCACACCGCATTATATATTGTTTGATTTCTTTTTTGCCTCAGGGTGAAGATCCATTCCTAAAAGGTGTTGAGCTGATGTGTGATTATTATTATTAGGCAGTATTTTACATTTATTAATAGACGTGGTCTGAGGCTTGAGTAAGCGTGTCATGCAGTGTGTACATGGAAAATGTTCGGCAAACACGGCAGACACACCGGGTCAGCTCTTTACTTTGCATGCTTTAAGAGTGGTGTGGTCCTCTGGGTAATGTGGAAAGACTATGATTTTTTTTTCAGTCCTTTAAAATGACCTGTATTTCTTTCTTTCTTTTTTTTTTTTTGAGACAGAGTCTCACTTTGTTGCCCAGGCTAGAGTGAGTGCCATGGCATCAGCCTAGCTCACAGCAACCTCAAACTCCTGGGCTCAAGCAATCCTCCTGCCTAAGTCTCCCGAGTAGCTGGGACTACAGGCATGTGCCACCATGCCCGGCTAATTTTTTCTATATATATTAGTTGGCCAATTAATTTCTTTCTATTTATAGTAGAGACAGGGTCTTGCTCTTGCTCAGGCTGGTTTCGAACTCCTGACCTCAAGCAATTCGCCCTCCTTGGCCTCCCAGAGTGCTAGGATTACAGGCGTGAAGCCACCGCGTCCGGCCTAAAATGATCTGTATTTCAAAGTCTCTTTCTTAACTTAGTCTGTAGACTTTAGACTGACTTTGTTTCCCCATCAGTATCATGGGAACGAAAGCCCTTTTGCGCCTGCTGAGTAGCGTTGGCCTGGAATAGACATACTCTGTGCTCTGATGGGCCCTGGGTTTGGTCCATGTGAACTGACAGGGGAGTGCAGCCCACCCTGGCTTGGGGCAAATGTTTATTTCCCCCCTTACTGGCATAGCGCTGCCGGCGTCTTCTCCACACATGAACTGAATCTTTATTGTAATGTTCCGGGCAGATGCTAGTTTGTTAGCAAAGTTCAGCCTCTGTGGGTAGACGTAGAGAAGATTCCTGGAAAAGAAAAGGTAAAGAATCAATGAACAAGGTCTAGAGTTTATTTTAACCAAGTTCTTCAGTGAATGCTGAGGTCCACGCTCATGGGGTGACTGTTCTGAAGGAGTGCTTTCTTTCACAAGTGAATGATTGTTGGGGGAGTCAGTGAATTACTGTTGATTCTTCCTCTTCAGCTGAAAATAACCAACATTACTCTCTGTTTTGCTACATGCAAAGATAAGGCTGCCCCAGCTTAGAAGGTCTTCATGTCTTAGAATGTGGAAATTTGCCTAGAGGTAATCGTTATCTCTGATAACACAGGTAAGAAAGAAAAAATGGTTCAGTTCATTTTAAACAAAATTCATGGCCGTCGATCATGGCCTATGTGATTCCTCCTCTTTTCTTCTTTTTAATATCTATATAGTAGTTTCAACTTCTTACTGGCATTGCACTTTTAGTTTAGCTTCTTTTCTTATCTGAGATGATGGTTCAAACCTCCAAGCTCAACTGCTGTGTAACAATAACAACAAAACAACAATATGAATAACATATCCATTCATTCAACAACTTTAGGACAGGTACTAGGCTAAGCATACTTTGCATACATTTTTCTTTCTATTTGCATTATTACCAGTAAATTCCACTAAAACGTAAGCTCCATGAGGACACGGATTTTTACCTGATATTTTTGATTCACTGATATATCTTCAGCAGCTAGAATAGTCCGTGGGACATAGTAGGTGCTAAGTAAATCTGTTGAATTATGGAATGAATGTGTATATATCTGATGAAGTGTATTCCTGACTCAAAGAAACAATAATAATGATACTAACACTTATATAGGACTTATCCCAAGTCAAGCCAATGTTCCAAATATTTCATATTTCTTAACTTATTTAATCCTCATACTTTTTCTATAGATAGCTACTATTATTATTTTCATCATCCCCATGTTATCATCCCCATGTCACAAAAGAGGAAAAAATGAGATATAAAGGCGTTAAATAATGTGTCCCAAATCATATCTCAAAATGGCAGAGTCGGAAACTGAACCCAGACAGTCTAGTGCTAGAGTCATGCCCTTATCCACTGTGCTATATTCCCACTAAAATGGTAAGGATGGCCTTTGCATACTGTGTTATCTTGACACCTCTTAGGGACAACCTTGCCTTAATTTTCTGGGTCTTATCAATAGTTGATTGTTAACTATATATTAAATGCTGGTTCAATTAGTTAGCGTCAGTCATGTTGCCCTAAGGGCTTCCAAATGACAAAATGACCTCTGTGTGAACTGGATACCACAAGAACAGTGACCAAGAGGGAAGTCCAGGTTACCAAATTATCCTTCCGTGAATGTAGGTTCGTGTAAGACTTTATAAGGATTTACATGTTTATTGACACCAGGGTTTCTCAGCCTGGCCACAATGGATGTTTAGGGTTTGAGCATTCTTTGTTGTGGGGGACCATACAGTGCATTGTAGGATGTTCAACAGTATCCCTGGCCTTTACCCACTAGATGCTAGCAGTATCTCTCCCCCACTCAGTTGTGACACTCAAAAATGGCTTAGGACCTTGTCAAATAACCCTTGGTGGGCAAAATCACCCCAGTTTAGAACCACTGATCTATGCACATGAATTTGGGCAGTACAGATCTCTACAACTACACCAGGCAGATTTCTCATCTTTAATAGATATAGTCACATAAAGTAATCAATGCTACCCTATTGGGTCCATATTTAAATGCAAATTATATTCCATTGGAAAAGAGTGAAGTCAATAGTCAAGTATGAGGTAGAAGGTGAAAGTTAAAATCTATTTAGCCAGTGAAGTCTGGGGTAGTAAGGAACCAGAAAACTGAAAGAGAAGGACTAGGCTGACACGGATGCTATTCTCTCAACTCTAACCTCTTGGTGGTGATAACAAGATTGATCCTGCGTGTGTGTGTGTGTGTGTGTGTGTGTGTGTGTGTGTGTGAAAATGGTCTTTTTGTACCAATGTTTGCATAAATCCAAGGATTTTCCCACCACTCTTCCTTGCTACTACTACAGTATCACCAATGACAACACTAATCACCATGACCCTGGACAGGACCGAGTGAAGGGGCTGAGTGGACCTGCTCCTGACCAAGGGCCATCAGACTGCCCCAGGTGAATCCTTTAGGGCCAGATGTACAAACAAAGAGGGAGGCGTGTCACAAAGCTGACATGCAACACAGGACCCATTCAGAGTATCCCCTGCAAACCACGAGGGGCTAGGGGGTGGTTTGTGCTCAGAATCCCTGTACAGAATCTGGTAAGAGGATGTGAAAACATTTTCCTGACCATTTCGAAGTAGGTGCAATTCTCAGAGCTAAGCGTATGCTAGATTAGAGGGGCTAGCGTTGGAAACCAGGTCTGTTTTTAAAAGTCACATTATGTAGTCTAGCCTCCCTTTCAGAGTGAGTTTGAAATTTTTATTGCATAGTATATTTCATGGGAAATTTATTATTGCTAAAAGCGAAGATCTTTCTTTCACTGAGTGTCATAAAACCTCTTACACCAGATATTGAGCCAAGGCCGATTCCATTAGCCTGGTGGTGACTGAACGTCACACCCCCAAACCCACATTTCCCCAGACCCCCGTGTTCCGCAGAGGGTTCACAAATGTCTGGGGAAGAGCTGGGGTGGGTGATCAAACACAGCTGGAAAAGACAAGGGCAAAGCAAGGTAAACAGGTGAATGTGCACTGGGGAAGATTCTGCTCGTTTCTCCAAATGTTTTGACCTCGGAACTCATATTATTTATCCTTTCATGGTATATTTCAAAAATTTAATATTATGTGGAATCACTTGGAAAATCATTGAAATAAACTTATCTAGTTATAGAAGAGTATTCCACATCAAGGAAGGAAAAGTTAGAGCACAAAGATTCTCTACTCAAATACCTTGCACGATATCCAGGTATCCAAGAAGAAAAGCAATACTTGGAACTATCAAGATCACACAGGAGCTGTTACTTTGCAAGTGCAAGTTCAAAGACCACAGAGGCAAACCAATAACGCTCTTACGTTTCACTCTGCCCCCATCTCTATATTGGGTGATTCACAGGAGGCAGGAAGGCGTGACAGTGCTGGGAACAGGTTTGTTATGTTCCCGGCACTATGTCCCGTGACCATTCCAGGCTGCTGTGACTTTTGCACAGTAGTATCATCACAGCAGCCTGCGAGCACACACTATTGCCCTCGATTTTTGTTTCCAGCTCTTTCTAGCCACCATCCTGCCCTCTTGTTAGTCTCTTATCAGAATCATAATTGGTTGCAAATGGTCAACTGCATTGATCACTTCTTACATTCAAATGGACAAGAAGATAAATGCAAAGCAACAATTTCATCAAAAAGAAATAACTTTAATTTAGATGATGGGAAGACTACCCAACAAGCTCCAAATATCAGTGAAGTGTAGATGGCCTACCCAGAAAAGGGAATGACAGGCCATGATACAATAAAGGGATTTGCATAGAATTCTGGGGTGCTTGAGTCCTAACTTTTAAAGACGAGAAAGCCCGTGATTAGCCCCAGCGCAGGCAGAGGGTCCGGTGCAGTGCTGTCTCTACTCTCCCACATGGCTATCCCAGCAGCACCGCCCAGTCTTGCTCTAAATTAAGGCAGCCCAACCCTGACGTAGGTAGATACAGTTGAACCACGCACGCCAGCAGGAGTGGACGTGGGTGCAGTAATGGACGACGGACGGCAGTTTACAGTGGGGGTGTGGGTGTGTGTGGGGTACAGACCCCGCTCTGCTCACTGCTCACGCTTGTTCGTCTCCATGGCAACAGTCAAATAAGCAGAGCAGCAGTGGGCCGGGAGTGGTTAAAAGTGTTGGCTCTGGGACCAATGAGCTGGGATTTGAATCCAGCTGTCGCCTCTTTCAGCTGTATGGCTTTGAGCAAGCTACTTAGCCTTTCCAAAGCCCCAGCGGGGCTAACAATTGCACTGATGTCATAGGGCTGTGGTGAGCGTTAATGAGCAACAACTTAATAAATGACAGCTATTATGATGATTATTTCCTCCATGCAGCTAATAAGTCAGATACACACTCCAACCCACACAGCCCTGTGTCTCCACTCCAAACCACCCCCGCGTCTCACCTGGACCACTGCTCTGCTTTCTCAGTTGAATTTGACTTCTACACTCGCCCTCTACAATACTCCTCATGTATTGGTCAGAAGGCTCTTTTGAAAATGTAAAATAAATTATGCCAGGCCTCCACAAGGGCCTCCCGAACTTTTTGTCATGGGTCCTACATGATATGGCCCTAGGCAATGTCTCTGACCTTACCTCTCATCACCCTCCCACATTGGCCTTCTGTCAAAACCTAGAACATTCCAACTTATTCCTTCCTCAGGGCTCTTGTACCTGGTTCCCCAGAGAGTGCCTTGGTTCTCTAAATGTCTGGTTCTTTCTCATGTCTTGGGTTTCAGCTCACATGTGATATCCTTGGAGGTCTTTCCTGCCATTCTATTCAACTGATGTCCTCCACTCTCTCACACACACTCTCTTTTATAATCATACGATTATCATATATTTAGATGATTATGAAAGCAATGTGTACCCATTTGTTTCCATCTTAAATAATTGAAAAGTGCAGAAAAGTATAAAAGAAAAAAATAGCAACCAGCCAGTATACCACTGCACTGAGAAAAATCAGAGACTTTAGCATATTTCCAATTTAGACTTCTCTCCCATACATTAAACATTTTATCACATTGTACAGACAAAGATTTATCTTGTTTTTGTGTCACTTAATGTTGTTCAATTATGACCATTTCCCCAATGTGACTAATTATTCTTAATAAACATCATTTCAATGGCTGCATGATATTCCATATCATGAATGTGCTGTAATTTACACTGGTCTCCAAAAATAAGCATTTAGGTCATTTTCCTTGTTTTCAATGAAAAAGCTGTGATGAACACTTTATCTATCTTGCCCCCTTGCAAGTGCAGCATACTTTTGAAGAATCCCTTTGAATTCTCCATCG